AGGAGGAACGTGTCTTCTGAAGGTTGTAGGAGACATTCATCCTGCTGGCAGGAAGAGATAAGTTGTTTTTGTAGCAAAGCAGAAGAAGCGAAACCTGAACCAGCTCATCTGGACACTTTCGGCCTCCGCCTGTCATCAGTCAGAAATCTGTGTGAGCTGTTCCTGATCTCCTCTGCTCTGGACGGCTCCTCCGTCACGTCCAGCCAGTATCGGGTCATGTACCTTTACTCGTTTCTGGTGAGTAACTTTATTCTCTAAGAACATCTCTCACGTCTCAGAACTCTGATTTAAAAGTTTGTTCATGCATAAACTAAAATTCCCCACCCAAAAAAAGGATGCTTCCCGTTTCCATGGTAACGGCTTATGAGAAGGATCTGGGTCAGAATAGATGCTTCACATTGAGTCTGAATGTGAGCTGTCAGGAACCACTGAAGTTCAACCGAGCACGTGGTGCAGGAGCGCTCCCGAAGCTCTCTGTCTCTCGTGCACGTGTTCGGCCACATCAGCGTGTCGCACACGCGTTTCACCATCATCAGCCACCTGCACAGCAGCAGTCCTCCTCTCCACTTCGGGTTCTGAGCTGATGTTGCCTCACAGGGCTTGTTTCAGTTGAAGTGAAGCTAACCACAAACTTCCTTTTTAGCTCGCTGCACAGGTTCAACTTCTTGTTCCACTTTTGTAGGCCTCGCTCCACCCAGCAGCGCTCCTATGGTTTGGTTTTCTACACGTCGGGTTTTAAGTCAGGGGTGGGGAACCCTGGTCCATCGAGGGCCACTGTTTCAACCCTACATCATCACACCTGATGTCAATCAGCAGGTGATGAACAGGCAGAGCTGCAGAACAGGTGAATCAACCACTGAATCAGAAGTGTTGGAGCAAAGACGTGCAGGAGACCGGCCCTCGAGGACCAGGGTTCCCCACGCCTGATGTAAGTCCATGCACACGGTTCTACCGGTTAATCCGGTGCTACAGCAGGACAGGATTGTGCAGAGGAAAACAAAAACTCAACTGCAGTGAAGGAAGTGTTTAAGAAGTCACCCGTCCATTCACGTCTCCATTAATCAAAAACACAAGGAGTTACACTAGACAGCTATTTTCAGCCCGTCTTGCCGTGTTTTCGGAAGAACGGATGAAAATCCTTCTCCTTAAGTAGAGATGTGGAGTGGATGTGAAGGCACCTGCTCTCATCCCGGTTTACCTGAGATGTGAGGAGGCAGCGGATGATTCCTGGAGTGGAGGGTAACCGTCTGTCCGTCTCTTCTCCTCAGCTGGTCCGTCTAACCGTGCTGCTCAGCGCCTGACAGGCAGTGCTCTGACGCAGGGTGACAGCACGTCTATTGAGATCTATGAGGAAGGAAGTGACACGCAACGCTTCAGAAACAGGAATCAAAGTTGTTTTGTCTTTATATGGAAATGCATGGCGGCTGCAAGTGAAGGTGACCTCCCGCGCCCGCTTTGTGGGGATGTGGTGAGGCGTCTTAGAAACCAATGGGATGGTAGCGGGACAGGGAAACGGTTCACACCAACACGAGGCCGTAATTACCAGGAAACCAGAAGATGCGGAGAGCTCATCTGCAAAGCAAATCAAAACCATTTAGAAATGAAAATTAGAATAAAAGGTGCTTTTTTGCAACATTTATAAAAACGTTTCTGTTATCTGGTTTTGCAAATGAACTCTTCACATGTTTGCTTAGAAGATGATTTCAGTACAGAGTCAGATTTCTAAACCACCACACAGGGATGATGGGTGAGGTTATAAATAATCATTTAATTCAGGTCTGAAACTCACTCACTCACCTTCATTAACCCCTTCATCTTCAGTAGGGTCAGTGGGAGCTGGTGTCTGTCTCCAGCAGTAATCAGAGGACAGGCAGGGGACACACCAATCAATCAATCAATCAATCAATCATTCAAAATTTATTTATGAAGCGCTTTTCATACAAATGCAGCTCGAAGCGCTTTACAATATTAAAAACATCCGGACAGCAGTCGGTTTCCCACCCCTCCCACACAGATTAACATTAGAGATCCCCTTTGTTTCTCCCTCCTCCCACCCTCAATCCCGGAGAAGTATGAAAGCTAAACGCTTCCGTCAATCCGTGTGTGTCTGTCGCTTGCGGAGCTGACGGAGAAGCATGAACCAGGCTTAAGATAACAAGTTAAGAAACAAATTAAACATAAACAGCTGATAAATAAAAAGCTAAATAAAACACAGTGATAAAAGATGACCAAGTAGAAAACATATAAATAAATTTATAAAATATTGTACAACAAAGTATTAAGACTGGTTAAAACTAATAATTATTGCAAATTAAAATAAATTTGTAGGAAAATATGTGTTATTTAATTAAAAAGAGTAAGTAATAAAATACTGATAAAATATATAAAAGATGGTAAAAACAGGCTAAAATAGATCAAAATCACTTAAAAGCTATACTAAAAAGGTGAGCCTTGAGCCTGGCCTTAAAAACAAGAACACTCTCTGTCCATCACAAAGTAAAAGGCACGTGGAGTTTATCAGAAATATGAGAATAAACAGAAAAGCAGTTTTTAAGAACTTTAGTTAAATTTGAAATGACCAAATGAGAACAAAAGAAGGCTAACAAACAGGAAGATGGTTAAAAATATTTCCACCTGCTTTTTGAGATAGTTTCAAAGTCTCATTGTTTTATCACAAAATAAATATAGAGCAAAGTTAAAACCAGGAAGTAGAATATAAAAAGAGCTGGGTTCCCTTCAGGACCCTGAACCTGGATCCCCTTTCTGATGATGTTTCATTAATCTTCATGTACTATGACAATACACAGTAGAACAGCATAGGTGCATGTTTATCCTTGGATACTTAGATTTTCCCTCCTTTCCTTTTAAGACATCTGGAATAATGGTAAAAATCTTACCTTGCATGGGTAGACCTTAACGAGGTTCCAGGTAGAGCTGCAACTGCAGCCAGGAGAAGAAATGGAAGACCAAACATCTTCTGAGCAGCATTTTACAGAAACAGGCTGTTTCACCACACCTCTTATCAGTTTGGAGCATGATGAACTCAGTAATAAGTACCTCCAACTTTATGGTTGATCCTTTCAAACATTTGTTTTTTTAATGCTTGCATCTCAATGAGGTGAGTGGGAACATTTCTCCTAGTGGGGGAGACGGCCGCACGAAGGGCGTCTTCTGTCTTCAACTGTTGTTTATTTTTAATAAAATGTTTTCCACCTTTCAGTGTCCCAGGTTTGGTGTTCTCGTACAAAGTCCAAACAGTCTGATCTGTGTCGTTTGTGTGGTTTTTAAGCCCTGCAGTCTCAGAGGCCGTCTGATGGTTATGGGGCTTAAGTTGGGTCGAGGATCGTCCAGGGTCTTGATGGAGGACAGCCTATTGGATACTCTGGCTCAGTGTTGTTGACATTTCTTTGGGTCTTCCACTCAACTGTTTGTTCCATAGCCCTCAGGACCATTTAAGAAACTGTAAACGACTGTCTTCCTGCCCAGCAGCAAAGGTGAACAGAGACCCTGCTTCTGCAGCTCAGCAACCTGACAGAGGTAAAAAAGGGTTTCTTTGTCTTTGCCATCAGAACGTCATGGCAGTGTGACTACCCGACACAAAACTACGATGAATCTGCATTTTTGCACAAATTTGGCCTTTTGAGTCTTAAACCTTTAACAGCTGTAAAACAGCTTGTTTCAGTTAAAGCCTCATTTTAAATAAACTGCTCAGAAAAGGAATAGTCTCGCTCCCACTTCTAGTTTCATGAAGCTCCGCTTGGAACCTTAAGATCCAACAATGTAAAATATGATTTTGGGGCATTTTCAAGTGGTCTTAAACTTTTGATCAGGACTTTGGTTTCAGCACAGATGCTATGTGTCCGCCAGCAGGCGCGCGCGCACACACACGCGCGCGCGCCTATAATGTCATCTAGATCAATGTGTTTTTATTTTTATTTCTTTTTTCCTTCTTGTATCAATAAAACACTAACATGGTGATCCTCTGGTCGGTTCTTTTGTACCGGATGACTTGCTGAACCTTCATCATGCCGTATTGTCATATTTTCTATTAATAAATAACAGCAACAAAAAAAAAACTCAACTTTAGCTTCACGCACTAGATAATAAAGGGTGAAGTCACATGCTGATTGCGTGTTAGTAAATAAAGGCTGAGCCAATCAGAGAGCGGCTAACAGGTCAGCTGACACGTTGTGACACGTTGTGAAAATGGCAGGACACGAACACCAGCACCACTTCTCTCTGTGCTTCTGTGACGTAATGAGGTAAATCTCCCGCTGGTGTGCTACCCTAACCCTAACGCTGCGTGTGAACGAGGTTCTGACCGGAACTAACCTCAGTGGAGTTTAGCCGAAGTGGACGGGCTGTGCTAACTTTAGCTAACTAGCAGCTAGCTGATAGAACTGGTTTTGCTGCCACTTTCGTGCTCAGACCTGTTTCCCTTTCCGCAGGTTGTTGTGGTCGCTGGTGATGCCCTGCATCTACCTCAGCCTGCTGCTGACTCTGGTTCTGCTCCTGCTTCCCCTGGGGCTCCGCTTGTGGCTGCAGAGCCGCCGTAAGTCCCGCCAGCCCCCGGGGGCTGGCCCGTTGGTGGCCTTCTTCCATCCGTACTGTAACGCAGGAGGAGGTGGCGAGCGGGTCCTCTGGTGCTCCCTCAGGGCCCTCATGAATCGGTAGGGTTGTGTAAGAATGTTTTGGTCGCAACGGTGGCTTGTTTTGAAAGTGAGCCAACAGTGTAAAGTCCCAGTGACCTGTCAGTGTGACCCCCCAGGCTCTATGTCAACACATCTGCTTCGGCAGCGTTGCACCAGAACATCTGGCTCTGCTAAGAGGCCTCAGAGACATGAAACAGTTGAACTAAAATCCCTCCTTGTTCCAGATACCCCAACATGTCCTTCGTGGTCTACACGGGGGACAAGGGAGTGACAGGTGAGCAGATTCTGGAGGGAGCACGGCAACGCTTCAACATCACCCTGCCTCGACCCGTCTCCTTCATCTTCCTGCAGCACCGTGTGCTGGTGGAGGCCAGCTCTTACCCTCACTTCACCCTGCTGGGCCAGAGCCTCGGCTCCATGTTCCTTGGTAAGACCGCCCTGCAGGAACCTCATCATTCCAATAAATCCAGAGTTACTACGGAATAAAAATAATCTGAACAGTCTACTGAGTGGTGGTTAGTGCTGGTGTGTGTTTGTTTTAGGGTGGGAAGCACTCACATCCTGTGTGCCTGACCTGTACGTGGACTCCATGGGCTACGCCTTCACACTTCCACTCTTCCGCTACCTGGGAGGCTGTAAGGTGGCTAGTTACGTTCACTATCCCACCGTCAGCACCGACATGCTGTCTGTGGTCAGAGAGAGGAACCCCAGGTAACACACACACACACACACACACACACAGTGGGTCTAGCTGTATTCAGACACAGATTAGAAAAGACTGAGGTGTGTGTGTTCCTGGGTCATACTAACCTTTAGTTTTTCTTCTCTGATTTCAGATTCAATAATGCAGATTTCATCTCTAGAAATCCCCTCCTGAGTGCTCTGAAGGTGGTGTACTACTGCTGTTTTGCTCTCCTGTATGGCTTGGCTGGCTCCTGCAGTGATGTCATCATGGTCAACTCCACCTGGACCCTTGGACATATCCTGGCCCTGTGGCGCTCACCGAGCCACACCAGCATCGTCTACCCGCCCTGCGATGTTCGGGCTTTCCTGGACGCCCCGTTGGAGGAGGACGACGATGTGGATGAAGGGTGGGAGGAGCTAGGACAAGAGCTGTCAAATGAAGGAGGTGGAGGAGACAGGAAGTGCCACTCTATTGTGTCTGTGGGCCAGTTCAGGCCAGAGAAAGACCATCAACTTCAGATCAGAGCTTTTCGCAAACTCCTGGACAGGAAAGGAGAAGGTCCCGGGGGGAGGGAGTCACTGCGGCTGGTGCTGATAGGTGGCTGTAGGAACCAGGAAGACGAGGAGAGAGTCCTGATGCTCCGGGGGCTGTGCGAGGAGCTGGGTGTCTCTGACTGTGTCGACTTCAAACTCAACGTCTCGTTCGAGGAGCTGAAGAGGGAACTGGTGAACGCTTCCATCGGGCTGCACACCATGTGGAACGAACACTTTGGTATAGGTGAGGAGAAAGCTGGTGATGTCATCAGTGGCTGTGTTTACACATGCACATCGTTAGTGCCTCACTTATTTCACATATAAGCATTAAATCACAGAGAATAAAAGTAGAGATGAATCTACTGAAGACAGCACGTTGGAGCTGAAGCCTCATCACAGTCGACATAAAACCAGAGCGTTTACCTCTGCATGCTCACCTGTTGGCTGCCTGGTGTGATGACTCAGCTTTCCTCTCATGTCTTTCTCCAGGTGTGGTGGAGTGCATGGCTGCAGGCACCGTTGTCCTCGCCCACAAGTCAGGAGGTCCCAAGCTGGACATTGTGGTGCCGTATGAAGGCAAGCAGACAGGCTTCCTGGCAGACGGCGAGGACAGCTATGCTGCTGCCATGGAAACCATCCTGGCGCTGGCGCCGTCCGCTAGACTGGAGATGAGACGTGCTGCCCGTGAATCTGTCAGGCGATTCTCTGACCAGGAGTTTGAGGTGTGTTTCCTGTCTGCCATGGAGTCTCTCATGAGTAAAGTGGTGCAGTGAAGAACAGAGAAGACTCGGCGTCCTCCCGGAGCTTATGAGAGACATGCCACAGCTGGATTTGTTAGGTGGAGCCCAGGTGAGGAAGGAGGATCTGACTTTTGGTCCAGGGCTGGGTGACAGACTGTTTTCTTTTCCTCCACATTTTTAAAATGGCTAGCTAACAGTAGCAAGGCTCAGCACTCTCAGAAACAGCTAAACGATTAAAACGAATCATGAAGAACACTTGACGACTAATGCGACCGAACGAGTGTAGCACGTGCGTGAAGCCAGTGACAGCTGAGTGTGTGAGCTGGCTGATGGCATGTATACGTGGCACCGTGCTCAGTGTGCTGAGTTTTAGTAAACAGAAACATGTTTAAGCTGAATTTTAGCCGAGTCAAACAATTCTACCGGTTCCAGCTGAATGCTTGGTCACAACTCGGTGAGTTTAAGTGTGTTTGGTCCAGAAACCAGGAGGTTTGAAGGGTCAAAGCATTTGATGCATTCAGCACCAACCAGTTCACCTGCATAGGTAGCATCATCTCCTGTTTCTGCAGACAGCTTATTTATCCGTTCTCACCTTGCTGGTTTGATTCAGATCAAAAGATAATGTTAGCGATCCAGTCCAGTCTTGTTCTAAGCTGCAGAACCTACCCGTGTCGGTTCTGGTTGCATTCCTGTCTCCAGGGTCAAAGTTATTGAAGTTGAGTCGGTGCTGACAAGATTTTTATTATATTTGCTTATTTTGCAGTGATGTCACTTTATTCACATTTTCCTGAACAGGAATAAGGATAATGCAGTCATTCTGTTGTTGGATGAATTTGATAAATGAAGGGTTCTGATGCTTTATACGTTCACTGGAGTTGCACTTAAAGCTACAGTTTGTGTTAAACTGAGGGCCAAATCATTTCAGCGTCTGTTTTCCTGAATTTCTGCTCTTGCATGATTAACGCAGACGTTCTGTAACTTTTTAAAGAGGCGCTGCTGCCGTTTATGTCCATGCGTAAAAGATCCTTGGATAAAATTATTACTGCAATAAATAAATGATTAAAATCCAACAGCTGAGTGATTCCTGTGCTGCCCCCTTGTGGTGAGGTGCACACTCACCAAGGAGAAGCTGGTTGTGTGCACCCAGGCCTGATGGTATTCATCTGTGACCACCACTGTTGGGAAAGTTCATTTTAAAAATCAGTTAGTTACTAATTACTTTGTCACAAAAGTAACTCAGTTAGTTACTGAGTTACAAGATTATTAAAGTAACTACCAAGAAAAATAACTTATTTTTTTATAAAAATATGCAAGCCAACTGGGGTCCGCTCTTAAACATGGTGGGTACAGAAAGTATTGAGACTCCTGTCAGGTTTTTACTCTGTTATGTTGCAGCTGTTCGCTAAAATCAATTACATTCTTTTTTCCCTCATTGATGTGCACACAGCACCCCATACTGACAGAAAAACACTGAATTTCAGAAATGTCTGCAGATTTAAAAAAGACAAACTGAAATCTCACATGGTGCTAAGTATTCAGACCCTTTGCTGTGACACTCAAATTTAACGCAGGTGCTTTCCATTTCCTCTGATCGTCCTTGAGATGGTCCTACACCTTCATTGGAGTCCAGCTGTGTTTGATGATACTGGCCCAATCAAATCTCGCACCGTGCCCTGCGGACTTCAGCAAAGTGCACTTGGAGAAAGTGCGCAGTAGGCTTTGAGTGCGTAGTACACAAGTGTGCAAATAATTGCAGGATTGAGACAGGGAGCATTGTGTTATTGATCGCAACGCATGCTGGGATGCTGGTCACTGTGATAATTTTTCAAAAACCTTTATTAACAACTTTTAAACTAACAGCCAAACAGTTATTTGAAATACATTTGGAGCATCAACTAATCGTCCTAAAATTAACTAATTTCATTAGAGATACATATTTTCAGAAAAGGAACTTGGGCCATTTCTCCTGCAGCAATTACTTGTGGGTAATACCCTTGCCCGAGGTCCACATCGCTGCAGACTTCAGTGAAGTGCAGATTAAGGGTGCAATGGGAGCGTGGTCAACTTCTGCACTTGAGATTCGGGACACCCTATGCACTCGCACTCCTGGCCGGGGACGCGCAAATGAAGGGCGCAAGGGCGAGTATGGAGATTGGGCCTTGATTAGGAAAGCCACACACCTGTCTATAAAAGACCTCACAGCTCACAATGCATGTCAGAGCAAAAGAGAACCATGAGGTCAAAGGAACTGCCTGAAGAGCTCAGAGACAGAATTGTGGCAAGGCACAGATCTGGTCAAGGCGACAAAACATCTCATGCTGCTCTTACGGTTCAAGTGTAGCAAGTGTGTGAAGCCAGGAGCAGGCGTGGTCTTCATAATCCTTAAATGGAAGACGTTTGGGACGATCATATCTCTCCTGTCTTAGCTTCCCTACATTGGCTACCTGTTAAATTCAGAATAGATTTTAAGATCCTTCTTCTCACATATAAAGCTCTTAATAATCAAGCTCCATCATACATCAGTGATCTGATTGTTCCATATGTTCCTAACCTAGCACTTCGCTGTCAGACTGCAGGTCTACTGGTGGTTCCCAGAATATCTAAAATTAGGATGGGAGGCAGATCTTTTAGTTATCAGGCTCCCCTCCTTTGGAACCAGCTTCCAGCCTTAGTCCGTGAGGCAGACACCTTGTCCACATTTAAGAATAGGCTTAAAACATTTTTATTTGATAGGGCCTATGGTTAAAATCTGATATTAGCCTAAATCTGGACAAGTGGGGGAGTAGAGGGAGGTGGAGTGTACAGTCGGTAAAGACGACTCTCCCTTGCCCTGCCTCCAACATGCCTCCATCTAAAAAGGCTAGGCTATCCAGAGTTATCTCTGTAGTTATGCTGCTATAGGCTTAGACTGCTGGAGGATACACTGACCACTTTCCACACTCTACTACTTTCTTCTACAATCTGCTTTTTAACTGTATTATTTCCTGCTATTTCAACTGTTAACTTCATTTTTTCTCAAAGTGTTTTTCTCTCCAGAAGAAGCTACAACAATGTTCTGCTGAGCTGTGGTGGCCTCATGGAGGGGGCCATCGTCTAGCACACTGCTGCTAACCGCTTAACATTCTCCCTCTCCTGATAATAATATTTAACTTTCTTTGATATTGGATGTGCTACTACTAGTTTACCCATTTAATTATAGATTCACTAGGATAAATACAATAAAGTTTATCTCTCGCCAAATAGAATAATTACTAAGAAATCACAATGTAGCCATAGACACATTGCTTGGTGTGTGTGTGGGTGTGTGTGTGCTTGCTCTGTCTTCTCCATCCCCAGTGAGTCGTGGTGGATGGCTGCTTATACCGAGCCAGGATCCTCTGGAGGTGTTAAATCCTGTTAAAAGGGAGTTTTCCTCTCCACTGTCGCTGCATACTTGCTTAGTATGAGGATTGCTGTAGATACTCTGACACTAGTCAGTGACTTGATGCAATTTGCTGGGTTCCTTATATAGGAAGCTTTTTTCTGATTGGCTTATTGAACTGACCTGTATTGGAATGTTTACTATGTGAAGTGCCTTGAGGCGACTCTTGTTGTGATTTGGCGCTATATAAATAAAATTGAATTGAAAGCTCGCACTGAGTTTGCTAAAAGACACCCGAAGGACCCCGAGATGGTGAGAAATAAGATTCTCTAGTCAGATGAGACCGAGATGGAACTTTTTGGCAATAATTCCAAGCAGTATGTGTGGAGAAAACCATGCACTGCTCATCACTTGTCCAATACAGTCCCCACAGTGAAGCATGGTGGTGGCAGCATCATGCTGTGGGGTGTTTTCCAGCTGCAGGGACAGGACGACTGGTTGCAATTGAGGGAAGGATGAATGCGGCAAAGTACAGGGATATCCTGGACAAGAACCTTCTCCAGAGTGTTCAGGACCTCAGACTGGGTCGAAGTTTTACCTTTCAACATGCATGACCCTAAGCACACAGCTAAATCCCTAATTTCCTTCTGGGATTAATAAAGTATTTTTGAATTTGAATTTGAAAATAACGAAGGAGTGGCTTCACGGCAACTCTGTGACTTCTCTTGAATGGCCCAACCAGATTCCTGACTTAAACCCAATTGAGCATCTCTGGAGAAACCTAAAAATGGCTGTCCACCAACGTTCACCATCCAACCTGACAGAACTAGAGAGGAAGGAGGAATCCAGGTGTAAGAAACTTGTTGCGTCTTTACCAAGAAGACTCATGGCTGTATTAGCTCAAAAGATGCTACTGCTAAATACCGAGCAAATGGTCTGAATACTTAGGACCATGTGATATTTCAGTTCGTCTTTTTTAATAAATCTGCAGAAATGTCTGTCGATATGGGGTGCTGTGTGTACATTAATGAAGAAAAAATGAATTTAACTGATATTAGCAAATGGCTGCAATATAAAGCGTGTAAAATTGACGGGGTTCTGAATACTTTCTGTACCCATTGCACTTAATTTACTATAAATTACTACAACACTAAAATCTATTCATCCATTGTCTGAACCCGCTTGTCCACGTAGGGTTGCGGGGGGGCTGGTGCCTATCTCCAGCGGTCAACGGGAGATCAGGCAGGGTACACCCTGGACAGAGAGCCAGTACATCGCAGGGCAACACAGAGACACACAGGACAAACACTCACTCACACCTAAGGACAATTTAGACAGACCAATTAACCTAACAGTCATGTTTTTGGACTGTGGGAGGAAGCCGGAGTACCCGGAGAGAACCCACGCAGGGAGAACATGCAAACTCCATGCAGAAAGATCCCAGGCCAGGAAATGAACCCAGGACCTTCTCGCTGCAAGGCAACAGCTCTAACCACTGGGCCACCGCGCAGCCCAATACTAAAATCTAACTGACTAAATAGATTTGAACATAATAAAACATATGTAAATGCTTACTCTAAAACTGAAATAAATGGGAACCTAACAGGAAACATGACTGGTCTGAACTATTCAAACATCACGGTGTGATATTTAACAACAATCTTCTAACATAACAGCTGATAGAAACTTTTGCTGTTTTCCTGAAGACTGCTGTGGATAGGCACCAGCCTCCCCGACCCTGCGTGGATAAGCAGGTACAGATGGAAACACACCTGCTAAGGGCTCCTGAGCCTTTATGGGGTCTCTCAGTCTAGTTAAATTTAAAATTTGCACAATAATTTTTCCAGTTTCACATAATTGTGTTTTTATTAGCATTTCTATTACTCATAATCTATAACAGCACATCTGTGTAAACAAAACCATCAAACATGACACTAGAACAGGCACAAATCTGATGGAGGACTTAAATTTCCTAACTTGGGTCAGATTCAAACAAAGGTCGGGTTTTCACAGTATCTTTCGTGGGGGTTTTAGTTGCTTGCAGCTCAAGGCTACCAGGGCGTCAGATTCAGGCCCTGTCCACACGTAGCCGGGGATTTGCCAAAACGTAGATATTTTTCTACGTTTTGGCCTGTCATCCACACGAAAACGGAGTTTTTTAAAAACTCCGGCCAAAGTGAAGATCTGCGTATTCTCCGTTTTGGGTGTCTGCGTGTGGACAGACAAAACCGGAGTTTTAAGGTCCGCAACGTCACTTTCCGCGACAATAAAATGCTGACATCACGTGTGCGACCTGTGTTTACACTAGCCGGCATCATGGAAGCCCTCAGAGCTGCGCTCGCTTTATCAATTGTCCAAACGCTTTCTGCTTGTTTGTTTTTGCAAGCGTAATTACTGCTCCTTGCGGAAGACCACAGACGAAGGACGAGGTTAAGAACGGGGAAGTACTGCCGCCTACAGGTCTGGCATGTCCTTAACAACGTATTTATCCGGGTACGTGTGGACAGAGTTCTTTTTTAAAATGCAGTGGTGTGGATGCAAGTTTTTGGAGGGGCGGATATTCGTTTTTAAAAAACCCGGCTACGTGTGGACTAGGCCTCAGATAACAAGACTTTGTTTGGGTCAGGTTGAGATAATTTTCCTTTCTGCCTTCAGTCTTTAAACTGATCATTTCCAGTCCTTCAGTGAAACCAATTTTGGGTTTTTTAACTTGTCCATACCGTACGGTGACTCTCCGAGATGACATCCATTTTGCGCACCAATATCAGTATCGCAGCTAGAACATTGTCCAGCTTACGATTCACCTCGAGTAACGTCCCAGTCTGTGAAGTCTCCACATGGACGGTGCGGGTGAGGGTCGCCCTCCAATCGCTCCAGATATCCTCCCACTCCAATCAGGAGAAATCCAGTGATCATCAGGCCGAATATCCACACGTCTTCGATGTCCTCAATGGACCGCTGGGAGAGGCATATGATCTTCCACTCCTTACGGGAATCCAAAATATATCCCGCCGGGTGTGTCCCCTGTGGACATGTGGGAGCCCCCTGCTCCGTTCTCATTGTTGAAAAACTCTTATCGATCGCGTTGAATGACCAGCTTATCAAATCCATGGTTAGTAAAAAAATAAGTTTTTCAGAAGAAATGCAGAGAAGCGCTCTGTGGGCAGACAGGACAAAGAGCCTTGGGAAATAAAGATAAGGGAGCAAAAGAGAGAAGCGTCTGTACTCCTCAAGTGCCTTACTTGTGTGAATCTGCAGCTCTCCGGGTCCGAAGCTGTAACTATTCATCACGTCTTGATCGTTCATCACCAGCTGTGATGCACTTGGATGGAAACATCCTGTCCTTTAGCTCTTGATCAGCTGATGGCAGCTTCAACACACCGCGCTGGTGAATGAACGCACGCGCTTTCTCATCAGTAACGGAAACAGCGTTATGACAAAGGATTAGTTAGATTACTCCTTACTAAAAAAACTAACTTCTGTTAGTAACGCTGTTATTTTAAATGCCATTTTTCCCGTTACCAGTGACCTCTGACCCTCTGTGACATCACAGTAAAGACTACCATGGGTCTAAGAATGACAGAAGAATCACGACGTTAGCTGCTCCTGTGGTTTTACCTGGTTTGTCAGCTGATTGATCGGTAAAGTGAAGAAGTACGCGTGTTTAGGTTCCAGAGGGTTTTGGCAGGTTCTAACCCTAACCTGGATCCAGCAGCCACAGATTCAAACAGACCAGATTTTACATTTAATGAACAGCAACAACATCTGATGGAGGTCTGAAATACTTAGAGCAACAGCCGACTAAATTAACGCCATACGTTTTGAAGCAGTTGATTCAGCAACATGAATGTGTTTGATGACATCATAATTCAGAATAAATGATCACTCAGATGTCAGCCTAGGCTCGCCTGGACCCTCGGGGTTGGAGGGAACAACCGCCTCAGATCCCGATGAGACGTCTTGACTTGGTTGACTTGCTGCACCTCCACAACCCCCCTCTGCCTCCTCGGTTGTCTCCTGCAGGTTTTCCTCTGAGCCAGAGTCCTCCATGACGTAAAGGTTCCTCATCGAGTCTGCCACTGCTTCCCTAAGTTCATCCTCAGATTCCTCAAAGTTCCTGATGAAATAACAGGAAGTTTAGGCTGAAAGTTCAACATTGATGTTCATCTCAAAGAAAGCCGTTAGGAGGAATCTGAGTTAACCGTGTGAACATGACATCTGAATCCTTCCACAGGTCAACCCTCTTTTGTTTGGCCTCTACAGATTCAGTGGGTTAACTCACGTGTCATCGTCATCAGATCTGGGCTCCAGACGTTCTTCATCCACGTCCTCTTCTTTATTGGTTTTGTCCTCCTCTGGGTCTAAATCTAAGAGAGAAACACCCGTGACACGTCCGATCCAGCAGTGTTGACTCTAGCAGGTGGGCCTGTCTGACCTGAGTCCAGCGTTGATGACGTGAGCTCAGCCTGAGCCAGAAGGTTCAGTATGGTGTTGGGGGGGCCGCTGGCCCACTGGCGGCGATCTGCTGAGTCATCCTCTAAGAGTGATGGAGGCAGACACAGGACATGGAGCTCAGGTTGTCCCATTGTAAACTTCTGCTGGAACAAGATCATGAAAGGGTCTTTATACAGTGTACTGCACCTCCTTCAGCCTCAGCCACTGTGCTGTAAACGGAGTCCATGTTGTCCAGAGCGTCCAGCAGAGTCTGGGGTGTCCTCTGGCTCCACACCTTCCTCTCCTTTGACCAATCCCTCAGCTTCAACTCTTCTCCCTCCTTAAAGCTGAGAGTCTGATTCAGAAGGTCTACATCCTGGTTACGCCGTCAGGACCAGAGGGATAAAAGGACAGAGGTGAAGAGGAGTAATGGTTATCTGGTTTTATCTGTTGCACCTGCACCTCCTACTCCTACCTCCTTTTTACTCCCCTCTGCAGCATCATTTAGAGGAATCTCAAATGTGATTCCCTTCTACAAACACCACCAAAAGCAGGAAAAGATTGTGATGATGTGTTATCGTCCTCACAAATAAGCAAACGTTGTTCCTTAGATATGAAGTCCTCTGACCTTATCTTTGAGTTTTTTCTGCAGTTCCTTCCTCTGATCTCTGATCTGCATCAGAGCCGCTTCCATGTCCTGCAGCAGGAAGTAAACCAGTACAGTTAAAGCTCTTATTCCTGATGGCTTTTGGTCCAACACCTATAAAAAGAGTCTGAGAGGTGAGTCCATGCATCTGTTTACCTCTGCAGGAGCTGCTTTCTGTGGCTCTGCAGAAGGTTCCAGCTCTCTGGGTTCCTCCACAACAAACGTCTCATGTTTCTGTTTTGGATGAGTCTGAAAATGTTGTAATGTTTGGATGAAATAAGAAATAGAAAGGTGTCACGTGCACAGAGGAGATCCGGAGCTGAACTCAGTGGATGGGTGTGTCTCATTTGTCACCGTCTAATGGATCAGGACCTAATTAGGGATGCAACGATACCACATTTTCCAAACTGATACAATACCGATACTTGGATCTGAATACTCGCCGATACCGATTACCGATACCTATACTTCTACCACACAAAAAAATGCAACGATTTGGAATACAGATTTTATTTTCTTCTCTGCTTTCAACAGGAAAAGACTGTGAGGTAGATAAGAAGTAAAATATATGAATAGAAATCATCACAAAACTAAAATATTAGGTGAACAGAAATGACAAGTTACAGTGAAGCCATTTTCAAGCAACTGCATAGGTATCGGTTCCTGGTATCGGTTAACTTTTACCGATACCGATACCAGTATTGGTATTGGTGCATCCCTAGACCTAATGCATCATGTGAAACATGTTCAAAGACATAACCATGCAAAACCAAGGGCCAAAGTGTACCTGCTGAAAGAGAAGTCAACATGGAAGTGAAAAAAAACGCAGTTCCACCCTCATCCACTAGGGTCTGGCAGCAGAAGTGAGCAAATCCTCATCATTCCCATGTTAAAAATGTTGTTTTCACAGCAGATATAAACATGTTTAAAGCCTGGTTCAAAACAACATTTTAGGTCAAATAGATCTAGTTTACATTCATGACAACTCTGAGGGGCGGGGGTTGTAAATTATGAATGGTTAGATTTGATTGACAGGTGACACGAGCGTCAGAGCCACATCAGAGCTACCGCTAGCGGCTAGCTCCAGGAAAGGCCTCAACCTCACGTCGATAGATGTTCGGCCATCTCGACTCTGAACTTTAGCTGTGTCCACTGTGTGTGTTTGGATGTTAATCGTGGAATTATTTGGACTCAGAGGACAAGACAAGCGGTGGGATCGATCACACTAACAGATCATTTAAGAAGACTGCTTGGGGTTGCCAACTCTCACACACTGAGCATGAGACACATGCATGTGACCCTTTTCACATGCTCTCACCTCCAATATCTCACGCTGAGGATCAAACTCCCGCTGTCATGGTAATCTCACGGAGGTGAAACGGTCCACGTGCCCCCCACCCGCGGATGGGAGCGCAGAGCTTAACTACTCTTCTCTGGCAAAAAGAGTGCACAAACCCTTGTCAGCTTTGGTTAGCTAGCTTAACTTGTTGCTACATTTGCTCAGAGTTTGGTGGTTGTCAATCATCATCTGCCCACATCCTCACAGCTCTGTACTTAGCTCCACCTCTTAGCCCAAATTTAAATTGTCTGGAAGTGATGAGATGTGTGACACATCCAAGATGGCGGTGGTGGTCACACTTACCCTCTGGGCTTCAATTCAGCTATTCAGAAACCTACAGGTGATGTCATGGAGGGTTGGTCCATCTTATATGTAAAGTAATTGTGCAAAACTCATCTTTGGCATTCTTTTGTGCTGCCATGTGGGTTTCTACTGTCTCTATAAATACTCTAAACATTAAAAAAAATCCATCCTTTTTCTGTCAATGTTTGGTTTTAGGAAGGAAGCCTGTGACAAGCCGTTTCAAAATGTCCCCAATTGTGATGTCACAAATGGATAAATTATAATAGAACCAACTTTCACATGCACGAGAGTGTCATGGAGGTTGTTGTAGGACCCAGGTGCAGGAAATCCAGGAGGCAGGCCAAAGGTTTATTAAAGTCTGAGTGTGGAGCAGGAGCAGGAGCAGGAGCAGGAGCAGGAGCAGGCAGAAAAACACAAGGAAAAGATAAAGAGCAATGGGCAGAGCTGGGTTTAAATAGACTGAGGAGGTGAGTGGAGACAGGACAGGTGTCACGATTACTGATATGTTGCAGGTGTGAGTGTTTAACAGGGCACTGAGGGAAAAAAGGCAAGTGAACAGAACTATGGGAAATGGAGGCAATACAAAAACAATGAGATTATAACTAAATGATGAAATTATACACTAAACTACAACTGAACCAGAAGCTGGGGAAATTAAGTAAACAAAGAATGACCATAGAAAATAAATGAACCAAATAAGAAAGAAAAAACCTGAATTATGAGGGGATCGGAGACTAGGGAGATGGGGTATAGGGACAGGGAGGACAAGGACACCTAGGAGGGAGAAACATGGAATGAACTGGGGAGACAAGGGACACAGGACATGACAGAGAGTGCTGCTGCTGCTGGAGGAGCTACGGCTCTACTCAGGGTCCCTCCAGGATATCAGAGCTTCTCAGCTTATAGCAGCTTGAGTGGGGTATGAGTGGGCGTGGCCAGCTCCAACTTGTGACAGAACCCTGAAACGGCTCATTCTGGAAGGTACTGAAACTGTCAAGAATAAAAGGATTTAAATCGCTTTATGTGAGGGATTTAGTGCAAAGAACTTCAATTCATATGTTTGGTATTGACTATAGAACAATTATAACTTAAGAAATAACTTTACAATACGTCTAAAGAGGTTTGTCTACCTCTGTTTCAGCTCTCGGTCTCATCTGTCTCATCTCCAGGTGGTACTGCTGTCTGATGACATCCAGCTGACGTAGATACTCCTGCACACAGAAACTCTGCTGACTCCAAACATTCTTCCCTTTCATCATCTGTCATAACGCCTGATGTGCTACAGGTGTGTCACACCTGCTGTCCCTCATGTCTTCTGTCCTGGAGGGGATGCTGGTTTTCGGGTGGTCCCACCTCCTCATCTGGACCACCAGGCTTCCTGTTGGACTCAGCTGTGCATGGACGCAAACCCTGACAGGGAGAAATATTTAGCAGTTATGAGTCAAAAATCTTGGGGCAAAGTCGGTGCAGGTTTAAACAAAATAGTTCTAGTGCCTAACTGAAATAAAGTTATTTTACATAAAAGCCATTCATGTTTTTCTACTTAGTGTGTGTGTGTCTACACACACGGTCTAACTTCCTAACTTCATGCACTGCTGTTTATTTGTAAAGGTGGGTTTATTCTAGGGATGTCCCGATCGGGTGTTTTTGTCCTCGAGTCCGAGTCATTTGATTTTGAGAATCGGCCGATACCGATCAGATACTTTCGATACATAAAAAAAGGAAAGAAAAGGAAGAAACAGTTCCAGAATGTTCCTTATTTTTTATTTAATTACCTTTTTATTTTAATTTTTAACAGATTGTCATGTTCTGTGTCCTTTTATTCCCCGGCCCCCTCCTGTTCCCACTCCAGGCTCTCCTCTTGTGTCCTCCTAGTCACTCCCTGGTTTTCCTAGTTGTCTTTAGATAAGTCCTCCTCACCCATCTGGTTGTTAGTGGTTTATATTTGCCCTCTGTCTTTTAGGTTTAGTTAAATCCATGTTTTATATGTTAAAGTTTATCTCCCCTCCTGCCAAGCTCTTTCCCTTCCCATTTAGTTAATTGATTCCACCAGAGATAAAAGGAACGGACACGAAGGACTGTGCGTTGATTATATATTGTTTGGTGACACCACTTAGAAACTTCGGATCGGGACACCCCTAGTTTATTCTTTTACCAACACAGTTATGAATCAACATCAACATCACTGGTAAAGAGAGGGGAGGCTGTATCTCACCAGCTGTTTCTCTGCTCTCAGCTTGTACTGGTTAGCCTCCTGTCTCCTCTGCAGGTATTCATTACGAGCTGCAGCCACACTGACACACATCTTTTATGTTACCGTGACTCCTGATTTTAATCAGTTATGTAAAAGATACAATCACTGTAATGTGCTGCAGATTAATTAATCAGTAACCAGACAACCATTTACTGCTTTCGTAGCAGAATAATGTCCTTTCACTGATGATTGATGCAATTTTTAATAAAGATGTTTTTCTGCCACTCACAGCTGGTATGGTTCTATAGGAGGACCCAGCTGGTCCTCACATCCCAGCATCACATCCTTTACTCTCTCCTGGGGAGCAGCAGGAGGTGGAACAGGAGGAGGAGGGTCCGTCCTCCTCTGACAGGCATCCAGCTGAGCGTGGTAGTGCTGATAATGATTGACAGGCTCCTGCTCCATGACCCCATAGCTAAACAGATGTTAAAATCATGTCAAAGCCAAGAAAAAGGTTTATAGTATTTGTTGTTGCTACTGCAGCATTCACACAAACAAGCATCAACTGTCATATTCCTCAAGAAGCTAATTCTCTCCAGGGTGCTGACCCTGGTGCTGAAATGGAGCAGTGGAAACCGGGCGCTGGGGTACTCAGGGATCGTAACACACATAACCATAATCTGGATTTTACATGATTGTCTATTAATTCTCATTAGACAACTAATACAAATCTACTGAATCTGATTAAATAAACTAAGGCTGAGCCTGATCAGTGTTTGGATCCATCCATCCCAAGGTGTTCCCTGGCCAGCCAAGAGACACAGTCCCCAGAGTGTCCTGGGTCTACCTGTAGGTCTTCTCCTGGATGGACGTGCTTGGAAAACCTCACCAGGGAGGCGTCCAAGAGGCATCCTGACCAGATGCTCGAGCCCCCTCAACTGGCTCCTATTAACGTGGAGGAGCAGCAGGTCTACTCCGAGCCCCTCCCGGATGACAGAGCTTCTCACCCGAACTCTAAGGGAGAGCCCAGCCACCATGCGGAGAAAACTCATTTTGGCCGATCTCGTTCTTTCGGTCACTACCCAAAGTTCGTGACCATAGGTGAGGGATGGAACATAGATCGATCGGTAAATCAAGAGCTCTCTTTCTTCACCACAACAGACCAGTACAATGCCGCATCACTGCAGATGCAGCACCAATCTGCCAGTCTTCCAGTGTTTAAATCATATGGAAAACACTTTCACTCACTTTTGATTCCCCGCGAGCCTTCTGTCTGCAGCTGACCGGCCAACTCTCTGAGGAGGAGGCTGAAACAAGGCGAAACATGTTGGTTAGGTGGACTTGTGAATGTTTCACTACATATCTGCTGGTAATTTGTCAGAGATAATTTGTGGGTTTTAAGATAAAATCGTCGGCCCTTATTTCTGTGCATCATTTAGACCTGCCAGCAGCTGTTCCAGCTGTGGTAACATCCTCATCTGTCCACATTCTTTTCTTACATTTGAAGCAGAAACTCTCAGTGTTGGGGGGGGGGGGGGGGGGGATACTTTGTAAATGTATTTAGTTACACAATGCTGAATACCTGCCTTAAAATGTATTTTGTACTGTACTCAGTTTCTTTGCTTAATCATGGTTCTGTAATGGAAACACTTGCAAAACTTCAACTTAAAAACTGCATTTAAGTCTATAAAATGTTACAACATGTGTTGGTAGCTCCTCCCACAGGAAGGTAGCGGGCATATTAATAACAAACGCTATGTTCTGACTGAGAAAAAAGAAATAAACAGCTTACTTAAGTGCCACTAGCTTATATTTCTGTCTCTGTAATAAAGTGAAACTTTTCTGCAGGAGCTGCTAACCAACTCACAGCGTGTTTATTTAGAAAAACGACGTATTATTTTATGTTGGTTATGTTTTATGTAGCTCTTCCTTGATGCAGTGGCGGATTGCCCCGTTGATGGCGATAGGGGGCGGTAGGGGTCTAAGTGACAGTTTATTAACCTTGTAAAGAGTCATTTTAACACCTACTGGTTTAAGAAAATGATTTAAAACGTGAAAAAGTTGCATAGTATGGTTTTAAGGGGTTTTTTTTTAGAAAAAGGGTCTATTTGCATTTTCTTTGGCGGAGTACGGCGGACTGCCTCAGTGAATGACATCTGTAGGGGTGAGTACGTCGAGTAGTTTGTTATCCAATAGCACGTGGAGACAGTTTGATGCCGACCCACGACTGAGAGCCGCCATGGACCAGGGCCGGACTATATATTCTACACAACGCAGAGACATGCATTGTTCAAAATGTATTTACTCATCTTTCAGGTTCAGAATTTCATGTTTAAAAACAGTAACTGTAATGGAATACTCATGATTAGTGTTCTAAATGCGTAACAGCGGTCCAAGTATTCCGCTGAGCCCCAACACTGAAACTCTATATTGTTTATGTCTAACACTTACTCTGAGGAGGACTGGGGAGTTGGCTCTGAATGGTACCCTCCAGGCTGGTTTAGCAGACGGGCTCCCGTCAGCTCCTCCAGGCCTCCCTGCTCCTCTGGCTTTCTGGGTCTTCTCTAAAAAATAGGAGAAAACAATAAACCACATTTTTTATCACTTTTATCATTTCTTCTCTAATCCACATTACTCTACTGACTGTCATTCACTTGCTTTGTGTGGACGCTGCTGTGAAGTGAATTTCCCCACTGTGGGATCACAAAACACCTTCAATGTCTCATCGGTATTAGTTGTTACTTTGAACAAACTTTTCATTTTAAAACAAACAAGGCAGGAGAAGAAAGGAAACATGAAATGGTTGGTAATGAACGTGCAGCAAATGCAGCAGGACAGATTATCTAAGTGTACAATAATACAAACAGATACGGCCAAGGAAAAAGTCATTTTTCCATGAAGTTCATTAGAAGAGTTGAAGGCAAACAGGGCTGCATGGAGACGGTGGTATCACCGTTGCCTTGCAGCTAGGGGGTTGCAGGTTAGAATCCCAGCTGTGGCCTTTATGCATGGAGATAGCATGTTCTCCGGTTTCCTCCCACAGACAGAAAACATGCATGTCAGTTTAACTGCAGGCTCTATATGTTCCCTGGCTGTGTGTGTGTGTGTGAGTGAGTGAGTGAGTGAGTGAGTGAGTGAGCGAGTTGCCTACATTGTTTTCAGCAGCCCAGACTCATGAAGCAGTGGATTTCCTCCCACATACTAAGATCACACCTAAGCTGCAGCTAAACAGCCAATCACCTTTGGTTGTCAGGGAGAACTGGTTCATATTTGACCAATCAGCACACCAGAATGTCCGTGGACAACAGCTCACTTTCTGATAGAGCTGTATCTGTTACAGTAAATGTGTTTCTTTCCTTCATCTTTCATCATCTAGTGTACTTGTGGTGTTGCTGCCGACTGTTCCAGCAGTACTGTTGGAACTGAGTGTTGCATTAAGGTTTGCATGCTTGGAGCAGACAGACTGAAAACTCCAGATGGAAAACAAACTAGTTTCTAAATGAAACGTGGCTATGGTTAAAAAGGACATTATGGACTACAGTTGCTCACACGCCAGGCTTGTATAATTATTCGTGCATTATCTCCTCCTCCAAGACAAACCGTCCCAGATGAACGTGCCAGACCCCATCTGCAGGTGAATCACTGACTTTCTGACAGACAGGAAGTAGCAGGTCAGGCTGGGGAAGAATGTCTCGAACCTGCAGACCATCAGCGCCGGTTCCCCTCAGGTTTGTGTTCTCACCCCTCTGTGCTCCAACAGCTGCACCTCCAACCACGACTCTGTCAAGCTTATCAAGTTTCTAGTCGACACCACCGTCATCGGATTCATCTCAGACCAGGATGAGTCTACCTACAGAATGAAAGTCCAGTGGCTGGTGTCCTGGTGCAGCCACAACAACCTGGTACTAAACACCCAGAAGTTAGAAGAGGTAGTTTTGGACTTTAGGAAGCACACAGCCCCCCTCCCCCCATAACCCTGTCTGACACTCCCATCACGATGTTGGATTCATGTCACTTCCTGGGCACCACCATCACCCAGGACCTCAAGTGGGAGCCCACCATCACCTCCATCATAAAAAGGCCCAGCAGAGCATGAACTTCCTGAAGCAGCTGAAGAATTTCAACCTGCCAGCACAGTCGATGAGGCAGTTCTACACCGCAGTCATCAAGTCCATCCTCACCTCTTCAATCACTGTGTGGTACGCTGGAGCCACCATCAGGGACAAGAAGAAGCTGCAGGAGGTTGCACGCTCTGCTAAGAAGGTCATTGGCTGCATACTCACCTCCATACAGGACCTGTACACCTCCAGGACATTGAGGTGTGCAGGTCAGATAACAGCTGACCTGTGTCACCCTGGACAGTCTCTTTGACTCGCTCCCATCTGCCAGGAGGCTCAGATCCATTTGGACCAGAATCTCTCTTCCCCTCTGCTGTTGGACTAATGAACGACAATCCTAGCCCAGTCACATGACCCTGTGTTGTGTTTGCACCTGAACTGATCCACTCTGATCAGTACCTACGCTGACTTGTATATAGTCTCCGTTTCTCTAAGTATTGTCACTTTATATTATTATTTTATCATGAATATATTCTTACTTCCTATTTTTTCTTATCTCTTATTTTTATCTTACTTCCTGCACCAAGTACCACAGCGATTTTCTAGTGTTGTTATTTTTGCACATATGGCAATAAATACCTTCTGATTCTGATCTGTAAATTTTACTATTGACCAAAACTGCTTAATTAGAGAAGGGAAATAAATGAATATATTTTTTGTAATTGCAGTCATTTACAACCATTCATTTGAATACTTGTATGAACTAAGAAGGGAACTGTTTTCAAACACAGCCCCACCAAGAAAAAGTTTCACCAGCCGCCACTGATTTAAGTCATTCTCAAAGTGAGAGTGAAAGGAAACAGCATGCACTGTCATGAAACAACCACCAGGTGGTAGTACATGCTGTGAATTACACACACACACACACACACACACACACACACACACACGCACACACACACGCACACACACACACACACACACACACACACGTACGCACGCACACACACACGCACGCACGCACGCACACACACACACACACACACACACAACAAAAGAATTGTTTTTACCTTGTATTTACTGACGTTTCGACTAAAACTGAGGAGTGTTTATATAATTTGTGCTTCATGTAAACTATTATGGTAAATGGTCTGTATTTGATATAGCACCTTCTAGAGTCCTGGAACCCCCCAAAGGCGCTAAACAACAAAATCAGCCATTCACCCATTCACACACACATTCACACACTGGTGGGGATGAGCTATGATGTAGCCACAGCTGCCCTGAGGCGCACTGACAGAGGCGAGGCTGCCGAGCACTGGCGCCACCGGTCCCTCCGACCACCACCAGCAGGCAACGTGGGTTAATTGTCTTGTCCAAGGACACAACGACAGCGACAGACTGAGTGGGGCTCGAACCTGCAACCTTCCGATTACGGGGCCTGCATTTAACTCCTGAGCCACCGTCGCCACAATTATAAGCTGGAAGCTTTCAGGAAGCTTTAGTGCTTACACACACGTATGCATGTTAATGTGGCCGAACACTCAGCTCAGACACTCTGCAACCAATAACACTGTTGTTGTTGAGAGGCTGTTGTGTGCCACCAACCTGCTGCTTTTCGTCCTGTTTTAGCTTCCTTTGGTGCAGCAGCAGCTGCTCTTTTCTGAGGCGAAACTAGGTCGTTGTACTCCTCCTGCATCACCTGCAAGCACAGGAAACCACACACACACACATTTAAACTAAGTGCTTGTGTGCACGTTTGTGTGTGACTGGTTATTAGTGACAGTCTTCTACTAAATTCATCTTTCAGACTTTTTAATTGGATTGGACAGTTTAACTTTCTTATCTGGTGCTGAAAGCTCTTTGAGGATCCTTAGTTTGGTGAAACCAAGATTAACATGCACAGGTAACGTAAAGACCAAGGTCCCTCTGCAGTGGTCTCTAGTATAAATGAATGCCTCGTGAGTCGTTCTCTGTGGATAAAGACCTCTGGCGCTCTTGTTGCAGGAAGTAGAAGTTAGCTGGAGAAGTGGGGAGCTGAAGATGACCAAATTTGGAGTTTTATATCCTGAAATTTGGACATCTGGCCTCTGACTGGATAGCAGCAACACAACGACTCTACTACTGAATCAGTTTGTTTGCAATGTTGATGTTTTTTCTCCGGGGGAGGAGGAGTTCTGCCGTGTGGTGGAGCTGTTAATGCTAATAGCTAGCTTCGACTAGCATAGGCATGCTCTGCTCTTTGCTGAATGCTGACATTCAATGTGATGTAGATCTGTCAGGCTGTCTATTGGCAGCTAATTCAGGAAGTAGGGGTAGAAGACCATTGTTCAGCCTGCATGTTAAATGCAGAATGACAGATAATATTTCTAAAATAGGTTTCAAAAAGGTTTCTCTGTGAACTTGGTCTTTAAACAAATCATGTCTCATACATGTCACAGTTCATACTAACATGACTATCAGTTACTACAGCAAGCATGGGAACCAAGCTGTGTTGAGCTGATCTTTCCTTACCTGAGTGCTTACGTGTTTGCTGATGTGTTTCTCCAGGAAAGGACGCCGGAGGACGGAGCTGACTGAGGGCCGGTCCCGAGGGTTGGTCTGATGATTAGAGAAAGTGCCTCTATTGTTTTTTTTTTTTTTTTAGGTATTCTAAACTTTTCATCAGTCAACATTTACAAATCCTTATTTACGTAGAAGAAACACATGTGTGGCTGTTTAAAAGATAGTAGTGGAGCTGACTGCAGTGTTTGGTGGACAACAGCGTCTTACATCTTCAACAGCTGTGAAAACAGTCTGTGACATTCTGACGTTTGTTCATTTAAATCAGGACTAATCCAAACCGCTGCTGCCAAAGTCCTAACAAGAAAGAGCAGCTCTGATCACTTAATGCCTGTTCTTTGATCCACAAATCTGAAGTCCCAGTTAACACGGGTTATACAAGCTCTGTGACCTTCAGAGGCCTCAGGAATCTCACAACTTTAAAGCAGCATCCACATTCTTCTCATAGAAAAGTTAATTACCAGGAGCCTTTCCTGATTTGCAGACCACTTCCTTTGTAGAGGGTGATGTTAGGATTTGTTATCATTTTTAAAGTACAACAGTATCATAAACCCAGCGGGGGTTAAACAAAAAGCCTTGCATCAAGTGGGGGAACACAAGCCTAAAAAGGTAAAATTATATAACACATATATGAGCAAAAGTATTTAACTAAAGTCAGCCATCGTGGGTAAATATTGACAATAATGTTATGTCAATACAATGCATGTGTAATCTGTTAGCACACTGACCAGTTCACCATCTATAAAACTGTTATGGTTTTTTTGAGTTTACGATGAGGTGTGTGGATCTCCACTGGCTTACATTCATTTTTGTGACTCCACAATGCCTAACCCTAACCCTAACTCATACCCTAACCATAACCAATGGGGATCTATTCCTAATCCTAATCTAAACTAACCTAAACAAAAAGTTAATTCTCAGCATACCTCTAAAACCAAATATTGGGGTGCTTAGAATTGTGTGGACCAGCAAAATGTCCCTACAATGTAAAAATGTCCTCATGTTACAGGTTAAAGTTAAAAGTTTTCCACTTGAACATATAAAGACAAGTACACACACACACACACACACACACACACACACACACACACACACACACACACACACACGCACAGATAGGAGAAAACCATTATCACCTGCCTTCTGTATTTCAGCAGCAGCTAATAACCAGTCGGCTCTATTTAATGAGGCAATGCTAAATGTTTTCTGTAAAACTTTTATCTGAATTCAAGTAATAAGAAAAATGGTAAATGGTAAATGGCCTGTATTTGATATAGCACCTTCTAGTCCTGGAACCCCCCAAGGCGCTTTACAACACAATCAGCCATTCACCCATTCACACACACATTCACACACTGGTGGGGATGAGCTACAATGTAGCCACAGCTGCCCTGGGGCGCACTGACAGAGGCAAGGCTGCCGAGCACTGGCGCCACCGGTCCCTCCGACCACCACCAGCAGGCAACGTGGGTTAATTGTCTTGCCCAAGAACACAACGACAGCGACAGACTGAGCGGGGCTCGAACCTGCAACCTTCCGATTACGGGGCGAGCACTTAACTCCTGAGCCACCGTCGCCCCAACTCCAGTTAACTAGCTTTACTATTGAGTTAGAACTTCCATAACTGCATCGTCAGCATCGTACTACCAAAGCTCTGCTCTGATTGAGGTTCTTGATAGAACATGCAGAGTACTCTCATGTGTTTATCTCATTTATTACGGCAAACAAAAGACTGAATGTCTCAGACCTTGAAGAGTTGGGTGACCAGTTGGCGGAGGCTGTGGGAGTACTGGACAGACACTGGTGGGAAGTGCCCCCTACAGATTTTACTGACCAGCTGCCGTAGGCTGCTTCCCTCAAACTGCAGAAGAAAACACACATTCAGTTAGGTGTGATGAGCTAGCAGATCATTTAGAGACAAAAACAATCAAAGTTAAAAGAAAATAAAAATAAAGTGAATGTGCCCTCAGAAAGATATCTGCATTGTCTAAATAGCACAACATAAAATAAATAAACCTTTTGTTTCACTTTACAATTGGATGGTAGCATGATAAAAATTAATGTTAGCATTAGCTTAGCATGTGTGAGCATGCATGTGTGTGTGTGAGGTGCAGCCTACTGGGTGCCTCAGGCAGCAGAGCTCATACAGAACACAACCCAGACCCCAGATATCCCTGCACACACACACAAACAGACATAACAACAACGTCAGATGTGCTGGCTAAATGTTCCCCCGACACAGCGCTGACGTTTTTGATGGCTAACAGATTCAGGGTGTGTATCACTTACGTCACCATCAACACATTTTATATAGTGTCAAACGTTTCTTGTTGGAACAGGACGAAGAGGCATTTCCTTGAGCAACAACCGTAAACATGATGAGAGGTGACAGTGAGGTAGAAGTACTGAAACTGCTAGAACTATAAAAATGTTACTGGTGCTTTCTTCTTTGGCTCAAAATCCCACCTAAGACTTCTTTTAAATGAAACAATTATGTAAAAAAGTAAATAAAGTATGTTTGTGTGAGCGCGATAAGGAGGCAACAACCTAACCAAACCAGAAAAGGTGAGTTGTCTGAACCTCAGACTCGGATAAGCTCAGTTTAACTCGCCAACCAGAACACGCTTTACTATCGTCTGAGTCTCACTGACTACAGTTATTGCCAGAATGTACCAAGTTGCTCACAACCTCAACCATAAAGCGTGTCATCTCAGTTACCTTAGTCCTTTGTTCCTATGCAACCCAGAGCAAAAGCCAAACTATTGGGACAAAACGAAAGTTAAAACGTGGCAGGCGTGCAGAGGACCACAGATCTGAAGTGAGAAGCTAAAATACCACATTCTAACCCCATCTTCAATAGAAAACTAAAAGCAACTCATATCCACATCAATTCATTCATTTCATAGCATGCGGAGATAGATTTCTGAATGTGTTCATGTGTTATTGTTTAGAAATGCAAATCTGTCTCTTATCTACATGGGTAGCTGGATTTGATAAAAGCTTTGAACAGCTGACCTGGGCTGACCCCTTCACACATCCAGTCCCCTGTAACTGGTTTAGTGTAAACAGATAGTATTATAAGATAATATGTCTCTAAACTAAACTAAACTAAACCCAGAGAAGGTTCGTCTAAATGAATCTGGCAGAATGACATCATCATACATGTTTGTACCTTTTTCTGCAATAGACTGTAACTCAACCAGATCCTGACAGGTTGATTACATAACCACTGTTATTATTAATACGCCCACATGGCTGATCAACAGCCACAGGCATCGCAGCTCATTTCCCATTAGCTCCGCCCTGTTTTTGCTAACCCCTCCTTATAGAGAAAACCCATCACCTGATATGTTTCTCACTCAGCTTCAACGTCATTACTTGACTCGACTTTTATTCATAAAGTACTTGTCAGGCAAACTCATGTCACCAAAGTAAGAAGGTAAAAAAACATTAGCAATGCCAATCAATCTGCAGAGGTAAATGCCACAGAATAAAAGAAGGTTTTCAACCTAGACGTAACAACCAAGAGACAGTCTCATATGTAACAGAAGCATCCCAGCATCATGGCACGGCCACTGAAAAAGCTCCATCCCCCTGGTCTTCAGCCAGGATACATACATCAGATATGTAGGCTGGAGCTAGGCCATTCAGAGATTTTAAAACCCATAAAAGAAGTTTAAAATGAATTGTAAAGGAAACAGGAAGTCAATGTAACATGGCCAACATCAGTATTGCACGCTCAAATTTCTACGTACCCTCCAAAAACCTCCCAGCAAAACTCTGTGACAGCAGAAGACGAGACAATGCACTCGGACTAGCCCCTAATTAGATGGAGTAGCAGTATGTTATGAATGTGTGTACAACAGTTACCATGTCACATCGAGATAGAAATATCTTCACCTTGGACAAATGTTTAAAAAGATGACCCCACAACCACATTTATATGACCATCCATCCATTCTCTTCCGCTTATCCGGAGTCGGGTCACAGGGGCAGCAGCCTAAGTCGAGAGGCCCAGATTTCCCTCTCCCCAGCCACTTAAGCCTGATCTTCCGGGGGAAGCCCAAGGTGTTCTCTGGCCAGGTGAGAGATGTAGTCCTTCCAGCATGTCCTGGGTCTCCCTTCAGGTCTCCTCCCAGTTGGACGTGTCCGGAAAACCTCACCAGGGAGATGTCAAGGAGGCATCCTAACCAGATGCCCGAGCCACCTCAACTGGCTCCACTCGATGTGGAGGAGCAGTGGATCTACTCCAAGCCCCTTCCAGATTACAGAACTTTTCACCCTTTCTCTAAGGGAGAGCCCAGCCACTCTGCAAAGAAAACTTATTTCGGCCGCATGTATCCATGATGTACCCAAAGCTCGTGACCATAGGTGAGGGTAGGAATGTAGATCGACCAGTAAATCGAGAGCTTTGCCTTCTGGCTCAGCTCTCTTTTCACCAGGACAGATCAGTGCAATGCCCACACCACTGCAGACTCAGCACCAATCCGCCTATCGATCTTGTGCTCCATCTTTCCCTCACTCGTGAACAAGACCCCACATACTTAAACTCCTCCACTTGGGGCAGGATCTCATCCCTGATCCGGAGAAGGCATTCTACCCTTTTCTGACTTAAGATCATGGTCTCAGATTTAGAGGAGCTGAGTCTCATTCCAGCTGCTTCACACTAGGCTGTGAACCGCTCCAGTGAAATCCTGAGATCACTGTCTGTTGAAGCCAACAGGACCACACAGAGCTGGTCCAGTGTTCCACGGCCAGGACAAAAACCACATAGCTCCTCCTGAATCCGTGGTTCGACAATCCAACGGACCCTCCTCTCCAGAACCCCTGAATAGACCTTACCAGGGAGGCTCAGAAGTGTGATCCCCCTATAGTTGGAACGCACTCTCCGGTCCCTTTTTAAATAGGGGGACCACCACCACAGTCTGCCAGTCCAGGAACTGCCCCCGATATCCACGCGATACTGCAAAGCCACATCAGCCAACACAGCCCTACAACATTTAGAGCCTTAAGGAACTCTGGGGGCAGGTCTCATCCACCCCGGAGCCTTGCCAGAGGACCTCAGGGCCGTAGAGAATGTTCATGTTTGTAAGAGCAGGCTGAAGACTCAACTTTTTAGCTTAGCTTTTAACTGATTATTATTTATGGTTTACTTGCTTATATTTTAAGACAGTTTTGTTATAAACTCATCCATCCATTGTCTGAACCCGCTTTGTCCACGCAGGGTCGCGGGGTAGCTGGTGCCTATCCCCAGCAGTCAACAGGCAATCAGGCGGGGTACACCCTGGACAGAGAGACAGTCCATCGTAGGGAAACACAGAGACACACAGGACAAACCAATCACACACACACACACACACTCACACCTAAGGACAATTTTAGACAGACCAATTAACCTAACAGTCATGTTTTTGGACTGTGGGAGGAAGACAGAGAACCCGGAGAGAACCCACGCATGCACAGGGAGAACATGCTAACTCCATACAGAAATATCCCAGGCTGGGAAGCGAACCCAGGACCTTCTTGCTGCAAGGCAACAGCTCTAACCACTGGGCCACTGCGCAACCAGTTTTGTTATAAATTTACGTTTTTATATTGTTTTACTGTTTCTACAATTATATTGATCACTATTCATATATTTTTATATTACTTCTTGTTATTTATTTCTTTTACCTATTCTAATACTTTACAGCTTTTCCTCTGTGGGAACCCTCTGCCTCAGGGCCAGTGGTCGGCGGCAGCAGCCTGTGTGCTCTCCAGGTATTGCTTGGGTGTAGGTGGTGAACCTCGCCCTCACTCCTCTGCGCTCCCTGTGTCTGTGCCCTGGTTGATTCCATGGATCTGCTGCTGTTGGGGCAGAAGGCTCCCCTGATGGCGTTTCCTTATGTACTTGACTCATCTGAGCCCAGTGTTTACTTATATTCTCAAGTGTGTTGTGTGTGCTTGTGGGTATGTGTGTGTCGCTGGGTTGGAGGGAGGGGGTTTTAATTGTCAATGACATTTGTGGGATATGTGGGGTCTTTTTAATCTGTAAAACACTTTGAGTTACATTTTTTTGTATGAAAAGCACTTTATAAATCAATTTTGATTGATTGATTGATTGATTGATTGATTGATTGATTGATTGATTGATTGATTGATTGCCACCGAGGAGTTTTGACAACCTCAGTGACCTCAGCCCCAGAGGTAGGAGAGTCCAACCCAAAGTCCCCAGGCTCCGCTTCCTCACTGGAAGATGTGTCGGTTAGATCAAGGAGGTCTTCAAAGTATTCAGAGGTCAGCAGCACACTGTCCCCACTATAAACAGTGCTGGTAGCGCATTGCTTTCCCCTCCAGAGGCGCCAGTTGGTGGACCAGAATTTTCTCGACCACTAAATCAAATACTCAATCTTCACCTCTAGACTGACAATTATAGTCAAGTGGTACTTTAGCTCTCCACAATCAACAATGGATGCACTGATAACACGATTAGGATCATCCATACCTTAACTCCTGCCAAGCAAAAAGAGCTTTCTACTTGGATGACCATCAGTCTTGTCCAGTGGTAAATACATCTGATAATCGTCAGCATATAACTGGAATTAAATTCCATGCTTGTGCAAGGTGCCACCCATGGGCACCATGGGTACGCAGAGAACAATAAGAGTTCAGTATCTAACCTCGTACAAAGATTCATCTGCAGGCTCTGCCCTTCCAACTTTAAATACATAAATAAATAATGTACCCAGAATAAAGATTTTACAGAAGAGTTAAAGTCCACCACTGAAGGTAGACCAAGTTGTTTTAAAAAATGTATTTTATGACTGAGATTGAGAGAGAAAATGTTAGAGGAGACTTTTTATAGCAGCATTTCAATGAGAAAATAAAACAGTAAGAATGTAAATAACTAATTCAAATCTACACAAAATCTCCAATGGAATGTACAATCATGGAAAAACCTATCCAATCATTGTGAACGCATGTTTCTCAATAATTGGATCATGATGTATCCATCAAACAGCCCTTTGCCTGTCCCTTCCCCCTCTGCTCATATAGTGTGCATGAATTGCGGGATCTTGGCTTTTAGCAGAACAGGAAGTGACGTAAGAGCTGAGATTGCTATGTTGGCCAGCACACTAAATTTTACGGTTACATGGCCTGAGTGGAAGTATGGTTTCTAATGTATGATGCCAGACCTCCCCTCTGGCAGAAAAGGTGACAACAGTATGTCATAAAGTCAAGGTAATGTCATATTTAATGGTTGTTAAATGGTATCCTATCCAATATTCCCCTGTATTCCTAGGCTTATGGGAGGAACCTGTTGAAAGGGGGTTTGACTTTAGAATGTTGTTTTTCTTTCAAAATGTAGCTTGACTGGACAGCTTTTCCAGGAACATCAACTGTACTGCTAATGAATTCAAACAAATAGCAACATCTACATCTATATGAACCTAAACGAAGTATTGAATAAATCAGGAGCAAAATCCTAGTTGAACATTTGAGCACCACACAAACCTACGTCTTGTTGTTGTAAGGTCGATTCTCACAGATCTCAGGTGAGAGGTAGTACGGTGTCCCAACACAAGTCCTCGCCATCTCCATGGTGCTGCAACATTACAAAGGAAATTTTAAAAAGCTGTTATATGTAGACAAGGTGAATTATCCAAATAACTGTAGAAACACTGATGTGTATTATGACAACTGCCCCCTGTTTACAGGTTTGACAAGGTCACATAAGTCAGCTTCAATTTAAATTTGTTTTCCACATTGCCTGGCCTTGGGTTGCTAAGGATATAACGAAACTTTGGAGGAGTTCACAGTGTAGACCTTGAAGCAACCTCACTTACTGGATATAGTGTGATTGGTTCTAGACCACAAAGAGAAAAATTGGACACCAAAGGGTTGGGAAGTAACTTCCTTGATGTGTGAGTGTTCATTCTTAGTATATATAAATAAAAGTGCTGGTCATATAATTAGAAAATTATGAAAAAGTTGATTTATTAGTAATTACTAGTATCAGTAATTCCATTCAAAAAGTAAAACTTTCATATTAGATTCATTCGCTACACACAGAGTGATGTATTTCAAATGTTTATTTCTTTAACTGTGATGATCATAACTGACAAGTAATAAAAATCCCAAATTCAGTATCTCAGAATATTAGAAAATTTTGAAAAGCTTCAATTCTGGAGACCCCTGGTGCCACACTCTAATCAACTAATTAACGCAAAACACCTGCAAAAGCCTTTAAATTGTCTCTGAGTCTAGTTCTGTAGGCTACACAATCATGGGGAAGATTGCTGACTGGACAGTTGTCAGAAAGATGACATTTGACACATTACACAAGGAGGGCAAGACCCAAAAGGTCACTACTAAAGAGGCTGGCTGTTCAGAGCTCTGTGTCCAAGCGCATTAATAGAGAGGAGAAGGGAAGGACATGATGTGGTAGACAAAAGTGTACAAGCAGTCGGGATAACCGCACCCTGGAGAGGACTGTGAAACAAAACCCATTCAACAATGTGGGGAGATTCACAAAGAGTGGACTGCAGCTAGAGTCAGAGCTTCAAGAACCACCATGCAGACGTATGCAGGACAGGTTTCAGCTGTCCCAGAGTTGAGAGGAAGAGAGGAGAGGAACAGAATCCATGTTGCTTGAGGTCCACTGTTAAGTTTCCAGTCAGTGATGGTTTAGGGTTCCATGTCATCTGCTGGTGTTGGTCCATTGTGTTTTCTGAGGTCAAAGGTCAATGCAGCCATCTACCAGGAAGTTTTAGAGCACTTCATGCTTCCTGCTGCTGACCAACTTTATGGAGTGCAGATTTCATTTTCTAACAGGACTTGGCACCTGCACACAGTGCCAAATCTACCAGTACCTAGTTTAAGGACTATGGTATCCCTGTCCTTGATTGGCCAGCAGACTCACCTGACCTTTACCCCATAGAAAATCTATAGGGTAGTGATGAAGATAAAGATGTAATACACCAGACCCAACAATTCAGAAGAGCTGAAGGCCACTATCAGAGCAACAGGGACTCTCATAACACCTGAGCAGCGCCTCAGACCGATGGACTCCATTCCACGCCGCATTCATGTTCATACTTTTCAGTTGGCCAACATTTCTAAAATTCATTTTTTGCGTTGGTTTTAATTGATATTGAAATAATCTGAGATGTTGAAATCAAAATTTTCATTATTTGTCTATAATAATCCTCAACACTAAAGAAATAAACATTAGAAATAAATCAGTCTGTGTGTCATGACTCTAATATACCGTCAATGTACACTAGGGTTGTCACGGTGTGAAAATTTTACCTCACGGTTATTGTGACCAAAATTATCATGGTTTTCGGTATTATCGCGGTATTTTTTTAAACGTGTTACATTTTCAGACAACTAAATAAACCCTGTATATCAGGAAAAAATTGTCCTCAGTTTGTGTCTAAATTTTGCCTAAAATGTGTTATTTTGTAATTATGTTGTTTATTTGTTTACATATTTTCCCTTTAGTCTTTAAAATACCAATGTTTGCCCATAACTTCTTATTTGTTGTCTGTTTGATGTCATCATTTAAAAATATTAGATCAGATGATACTCAGTACTCAAGTAGCCTTCTAATCAGATACTTTTTTACCCTTACTTGACTAATAAACCCTATATCAGGAAAATATTGTCCTTGGTTTGTGTCTTTCCGGTGAGCTTTGCAGATTTGGGAAAATGTCATCAGGCAGTAATCATTGTTAAATTCATAATTATTCTCGGAGAGAGACCAACTCTTATCTGCCCCTGGGAGCCCCGTAATGCATAGCGTCATTTCAACATGGGGGTGTCCGCGACACGGTTTATATGCAGGCAGCGGCGCTGCGGCTGCTTTATATAGCGACTCGTTGCATTCTTCCTCAACCCAAATCCTCGGATCACGCATTTTAGCTAAAACGCTAACCTTAGCTTGCCTTGCGTTGACTGTAGAGTTGTGGGTGATGGTCACGCAGATGTGTCATGAGATTTGAAGCGTTGCTGCCTTTCACAGACACTTTTTCTGCACGTGCTGCAAACAGGATAGCCGTCTTCTATAAACTGTCCCTCGACATTCTTCAAATATCCAAAAAATGCCTGTACTTCCCACTTTGTCTTCTTTGAGGGACATTAAATGTCCTGCGTTATTTCAGCTTTAGCTTCAAGAAAGTTTTGATTGTAAACATCAAAGTGCGCATGTGCTACCAGCAACTTTGGTAACAGGGTTGAATCTTATATGTTCAAGTGCACAGTGTGGAGGATATCATAAGGCCTTCACTCTGGAACCAGTTGCCACCCTCAGTTAGGCTGTCCCCTTCTCTGCCAGTCTTTAAGAATCACCTAAAAACACACCTCCTCCGCTTGGCGTTTCCAGAACATGTTTGATTTTGGCCCTCTATTATGTTGAATCCATTCCACAGTTTTCATTGGTACACTCAATCCAAATGTGTTTCACACATTTGTCCTTTACCAGAATGTTTCATCTATCTTGTAATTTCCATTTTGTATTTTGTAATTTGAATTTCTTTTATTGTTGATTTATTCAATATATTTACATACAACTGTACCATGTTCAGCGCTTTGGGCTTCCTGACAGGGTTGCGGAAGGCGCTTTATAAATAAAGCTTTGATTGATTGATTGATTGATTGCGTTAACCAGACATAAAGCACAATATTTATGAGTGTTTCAAGTTGAAAATCTGTCAGATTTGACTCAAACACAACAGGAAGGTTAAGAAATGAGAAGCAGCTCATTGCACCAGTTGGGTTAAATAACTTGTCGCCAGCTGAAGTAATTTTCCAACAGAAGGCTCATACTATTAGCTTGGTTAAATCCAAATAATTTATTTTTATTTTATTGTTTTAGGAACCTCAATTAATTGTACTCTTTTGTTGCAGGCTGAGAGCAGCAGGTGAGGCCTGGAATGTCTCTGGGTGGTGGTTCGTCTTTGGGTGTGTGCTGTGTCCAAGGGTTCCCTCACTTCTGAATGCATGGTCACGAGTGTTTGGGGTACCTTCGATTTAGTTTATTTTTCTTTATTAGGGTTCCGCCTCCCAGCGACTGGCTGGTCCCTTCGGGTAAGCCTCAGCCTGGGTTTTAGTAGTCCTTGGTTTAGTAATTAGTTTTAGTAAATATTTAATTCTTTGACTGAGGTCTTGTTTTTATTATTTGTTTAATAAATTGTAAAAAAAAAAATTGGAACCACATCTCTTGCCTTCCTATGTAGACTGGGCTTGCATGTCCATTTGATTCTTATTTGTCCTTGTTTCACAAGGTGGTGTTGCTTTTTAATGGGTTTAGTACAGTAAAATATAAGGGGGTGCTCCCAACGGCACCTCCCACAGATAGGATCAGGAATGAGTCCATCAGAGGGACAGCTCATGTTTTGTAGATGTAATCAGAGAGGACAGACTGAGATGTTTTGGACATGTCCAGAGGAGAGATGATGACTACATAGGTAGAAGGATGCTGAGGTTGGAGCCACCAGGCAAGAGGCTGGGAGATTTATGGATGTGGTGAAGGAGGACATGAAGTTGGTTGGTGTGAGGGTAAAGGATGAAGAAGACAGGACTAAATGGAGACAGATCTGGAGACACCTGAAGGGATAAGCCTAAAGAGGAAGAAGTGGAAATATCTGATGTTTAGATGTTTTAGAGCAGGGTTCGTAAATGTTCAAACACAACTTTGTATTAACTTGTTGCATTTAACCATTCAACTGCTGTTATTTCTGTTAAGCACGCGCACTCGTGTGTGTGTGTGTGTGTGTGTGTGTGTGTGTGTGTGTGTGTGTGTGTGTGTGTGTGGAAGATGACACTGACTTGTTCAGCATTCTTGCAATTCCAAAATCTCCCAACTTTGCTTTCCTCCCTCCGCTGGTTAGGAAGATGTTCTAAAACAGAGGAAGAACTGGAGTGAGAACACGTCGGGGGGGGGGGGGGGGGGGGGGGGGGAATAAAAGAGAGAGATACAGAAACAGAGGTAGAGAGTGACTGAGAGGGATGGAAAGGGAGAGAAAGAGAAAGAGAGAGATAAAAAGAATCAGAGGTAGAGCAAGAACAAGAGAGGGATGAAGAGAGCTAGTGACAGAGAGAAGGAGAGAGAGAGAGAGAGAGAGAGAGAGAGAGAGAACCGATAACAGACAGTTATCCTGACCATTTTCTCCCTTGCTGAGATTAGATAATCTGACACAGTGACATCTTTGCTCAGAGTAAAACTGACCTCAGAGCAGTTTGCCCTCGTATGATGTGCATTCTGTGGGTTTCTAAGCTTAGAAAAGTGACTGATTTTGTTAAATCCTGCATCACAAAGTGCTCAGGCTTTATTTGAAAACACTTAACACTTTAAATTTCACCATTTTTGTTTTGCATTTCCAAAAGTTTTTTAATTAATTAAACAAGTGAATAGTAAAAAAATAATTTTGAAAAAAATAAAAAAATAACCTCTTGCAGCTGCTGAGAGTGAATCCTCACAGCTGTATTAGATCACACAATCACTGCAACACCCAGAGGAGCCTGAGGCTGACCCCTCATGTTCCACCAGTCAGTAAAATAAATCAATATACTGATTTATTTATATAATAGAGAACATCTGTCAGAAGGACAGGATCAGAGTTGCAGTTTAGGATTTGGCTGCCCTGGTCTGGAGTGTGTGTGAGGTAAGGACGGCCTCAGGTGTGAGAATGAGTGGGTTACCTGAGCTTTAATGTCTCTATGTAGAATCTTTCTGTCATGGATGTGTTTGAGACCCAGGCAGATCTGAACAAACCAGTCCACCACCTAAAGGACAGGAAACTCCCATTACCTAACTTCATCTTTTAAAATGGTAAATGGCTTGTATTTGTGTAGCACATTCTAGGGTTCTCCAACCCCCCAAGGTGCTTTACAACACAATCGGTCATCCACCTATGCACACACGCATTCACCATCGACATATAAATATTGGACAATGGGTTTCCATAGACTCCAATAACACTTTTTTGAAGACAAATGGGAGGTGGCCACCACCGCCATTTTGACCGTGTCACAGGTTCCGTCAAGCCCAGACAATTCCACAAAAGGGAAGAGAGGAGGAGCTGAGGGTGGGGCTGTAAGGCTGGGATCAACTGACGACACCCGGTCGAACTAGCTACAAGCTAACCTGAAGCTAACCCAAAGCTAACGCGGAGGTGGGAGCTAAGCTAACGGAGGTAGCAACCTAGCTACAACCAGAGTTAACTGTGCACAACACCAGAGCTTCTGAGTCAGAGATACGCCGGGCTGACCACTGGGTAAAACCGGGTGGAACACAGAGGTCTCCGAGAGCTCCACAAGCTGGCAGCCGCACAGCAGACAGAAGCCGCGATCAGACAGAGATGCGCCGAGCTGCAGGGAAAACAGGTCTCCCGAGAGCTCCACAAGCCGATAGTCGGAACCCAGCTCCACCAACATGTTATATTTGAACCCATTTTCTAAAGTGCAGCATTATGTTAAATGCACTGGGTTTTACCCTATTACATTTAAATTTCATGGTTAAACAGTACATGTTAAAATCTAAGCTCAGCTTGGCAGTGACCTAAAATACATAAATATAATTTTACTTACCGAAAAAAATGAAGTGGAGACTCCTTGGACGCTCTATTAGTGCAATTAATGCCACAGCAAGTCATTTTGTCCAACAATTGCACAAAAAATATCCAAAAAGAACACACAAACGCTACAACTAATGGTCTAAGTTGAGAGACTGAAAACAGTCCCGAAACAGTTTCCAGGCCAGGCCGAGGCTCTACTGAGGCCTTTCCACGGAGCTAGCTCTGTGGTCACGTGGGTCGGATGCTCATTAATTATACAGAATTTTATGCTTTTAATACACTTAAACAGAAGAGTGAGAAAAAAAATTCACCCCCTTCAGAGTTGTCATGAGTGTAAACTAGATCTATTAAACCTAAAATATGTTTTGGTACCAGGCTGTAAACATGTTTATTTCTGCTGTGAAATTGGTATTTGATGCAATTTGATGGGTTCCTTATATAGGAAACATTATTTCTGATTAGCTTAATGAACTGACCTGAATTGGAATGTTTATTGTGTGAAGTGCCTTGAGAATTGAATTGAACTGAAATTGAATTGGAATGCACCAGACTGACATCACAGTCATTCCTTTTAAGTAGGCAGCACCACCTTCCCTTCAGCCTACCAAAGGCATTTTCAACCACCACACGTGCCCGGCTGAACTTCTTGTTAAAAAGAAGTTGCTGCTCTGTCAGTCGCCCAGTGTCTGTATATGGTTTCAGAAGCCAGTCTTGCAGCGGGTAAGCAGAGTCACCCAGGATGCAGTATCCAAAGTCAACGTCAGCAATTTGGATGGAATGGTCAGGGAAGAGATTTCCACGGCTTGCCAAATCCCAGATGGAGGAAAGTCTCAGTACCCTTGCATCGTGCATGCTCCCTGGAAGCCCTGCAAAAACGTTCCAAAACAGTCCCTTCCCATCAGCCACAGCTTGCAAGATGAGTGAGTGCCACCCTTTTCGGTTGAAATAGTCTGTGTGAAAGTTTCTGGGTGCTATGATGGGAATGTGTGGGCCATCAATAGCACCCACACACTGTGGCAACCCCCACCTGCTCTCAAAATAAGACCGAAATTTACCCTCATCGGGTAAAACAAATGAAATGCATTTTATTAACTTGAAGTGTATTAAACACGCATGTCAGAATTTGAATTTTAGCAATACCAGGATGCGTCGGCGTTGTCGTAATCGCAGCAATGTGTTGTACTGCTTCAGAATGGCTTCCAGCATGACTCGGCGACGCTTTGCAGATTTAATCCTCCTCTCATCCCTCCTCAGCTGGCGAAGCCGACGCCTTTCGGCCTGCCTAGCGTGGAGTCTGGGCCCCAAAACGAGCCACAAGGGCAGAACCATGAAAAATAACACCACGAAGTTCTCCATTGTTTACAACACTACACACGTATCAACACAGGTCAGCTCACTTGGTCGCTGATATATGACATCACTGACATTTTAGTGCCAATTTCTCCCGCCGATTTCTGGGGACCGCCCGCATGCAGACGTGACTGAGATTCACGTCCGCAGTCCAGAGCAGGGACGTGAGGAAAGTGAGGAATCACTCAGGCCGGGCTGGGGCCGGCTGGGGCTGCCCGGCCCGAGCCGACCAGGTACAGATGGGAATGGCCCATTACAGCTCATTCTAAGCAGGAGGTATTTGGGTGGACAGGGCACATTCCATTCCATTTAGGTAGGCTTCACATGGAGGCATCAGTAGTCAAAGCTCAGCCAGCCCCCCATCAACCAATGACAGCTTCCACTTGTAAACAAATATGGCCTGTATTTGATATAGCGCCTTCTAGAGTCCTGGAAGCCCCCAAGGTGCTTTACAACACAATCAGTCATTCACCCATTCACACACACATTCACACACTGGTAGGGATGAGCTACAATGTAGCCACAGCTGCCCTGGTGCACACTGACAGAGGCGAGGCTGTCGAGCACTGGCGCCACCGGTCCCTCCGACCACCACCAGCAGGCAACAGTCATCTGACAAACTCTGAGAAAATGCTGGGGGTATCAGTTTACAATGAAAGAAAGAAGTCCCCCTTTTAAGGCTAGTTGATCATTTATAACCATTCAGCAAACACATTTTACAACAGAGGAAGTCATCATTACACACACACACACACACACACACACACACATCAAATGACAGACACGAACAATGGTAATATAATTCATTGTGATGTTTTAGAAAGTGTTTTAAACATCACCCTCGACCAATCGCGTCATTTCCATTCAAGATTTTTTTTTTAAAGACTGTATAACTGTAATGGTAAAAACCCTATCGGAACCATTATCTGAAGCGCACATCGATGTCAGGTAAGTGGAAGAATTTACTCAAACTCCACTTTCCAATGTTTTATCAATCTACCGACATCTAATCTATTTTTTTAGCCGCAATTGTCGTTTCATCGGAGAGTGAATGGGATGGCGAAATCCCTCTTTCTCAATTAGAACGCGAGACACCGCCACCACTGCCACCAACCCTGCAAGATGCATTTAGTCAGCTCGACAGAGCTTTGAGCGAACTCAGTAAGTGATTTTTTTTATACATGTAATTTAATAACGTGATATATCCCTTTCAGCTGAGAAATATCTTATTTATCCAGAAGGACAGGAAGGGAACACACCTCCTGAGGCGGGGCTTAGAATTCCAGCTTTTTTTGCACTGTCAGAATGTCTTTCCAGCAGTGGCTTGTACGAAAAAGTGAAGTGATACGATCCCCCACTTCATCTATTTTCTCACACCAGGCCTCGAAAGGTACAACCTGTAAAAGGCGGTAAATACCGCATTCAGCATGCACATTTTCCAGCACAAAAAAGAGCTCCGATCCTCTCTCACGGACTGAGGCCTTGAAAATCCACTGCCCATCCGCATCCTCCAGCCCCTCCCATGAAGCGCTGAAAGCTATCACGGCGTTCTGGATTTCATCCAATGATGGAAGAGCTTGCGGCCTGTTGCGTTTTACAGCTGGACAAGGTCTCTCACGATCATCTTTGTACACCCTGCGCGGAACTGGGAGGTTGAGCACTGCCCAGTCGTTGTAGGAGAGAACCGCTGAATGTGATAAATATGGCTTGAGAGGTTCGTCCTCAGCCACATCATGGATTAGACACAGCTCCTTAGTGTCATAGCTGAACCGGTATCCACAACTACCGGTATCGCCGTAGGGTTCCAGCGGCCATATTTGCTCCAAGGACTCTTTACCGCCAAAAGGAGGAAGCTGAACTCTACACATGCAGAATGTAGATTTGCGGGAAGCGCCACCCCCTGCAGGCAGCTGATGGATCGCTATAGATTTTTCACAGAGCAAGGTCTGTGATAGTGGCGACGGCATGTCCACGCTCTCCCCTTTCACCTCCTCCTCCTCCTCTCGGGTAGAGGTTGAAGCATCGGTTGTAGACATCTCCTCTTGCTTCACCAATTTCTTAGAGGTATTTCTTCTGCCTTTCACCATTCTGATACGTTCTCAGTCTGTCCGCTGAAATGGATCCAAGCTATTAAAGAGGCAAGCAGGGTTGGAGGGAGGGATGTGGGGTATTACGTATGAAAGGGAGGGGCTGTGGGAACTGTGGGGCTAACACAAAAGACTTATCAATCCTAACTTGACGTAAAGTGGTGCAGATCATCAATATACATCTTGACAAAAGGGGACTACAAACAATAACTTCATGCGTCATTACACAACAGTCATCAATTCATTTCTTGACATATAGGGTCATTAAAGATCAGATCACAAAAGGTCATAAAGCAATACACCTGTCGAGTTTGACGTAAGGTGGTTTGGGGGGGAAGGGCATAAAGGTCAAAGAACAATAGACCTGTCAAAAAGCTTGACGAAAGGCGGTTCCTTATATCTCTCCTATCTGTATGCTGATGATTGCCACATCTATATTCCCTTTGAAACAGGGTTCTGCAGGCTCAATTAAGCCCCTCCTGGATTGTCTGGAGGAGTTTAAAGCATGGATGTGTTCCAGCTTTTAAAGTTTTAAAGAGGGCAAAACAGAGATCACTATTTTTAGTCCAAGTGCCAGCTCCAAACTCATTTGAGCATGTGTGCATATGACTAAGGTAATTTTTGTATTTTAACAGCAGCTGTTAGAGAAAATAAAGTTTATTATGCTATATAAGTCTCAAATGGAAACTTTAACACTGCAAGTAAACTGAACTTTCTTTGTAAACAAGTAAACAGGAAACAGGACTTTCCTACCATCACAGTTACACACCACACATGGTTTTCTCCATTATCTCACGGAGAGGTGGTTTTCTGTTTGAGTGCAGGCAATGCCCTGACAACTGCTTATGCAAATGAACCTCTCTGTTAATAGACCCTTTTACTGTTTGTAAACAATATGACGTCAGCGAGAATGCGCGCGCAGCTTGGCAACAGAGAATGGCGTTGTTTCAGGCTTTATCAAGCTACGCTGCGGGGTTATCACCGGCAAATTTTGAATGCTATATTATTAAACTCACTTTAACGAATGGCAACAGACTCCCGGATCCCTGTGGCATTACGGAATGGGTGGAAGATGTAGGTGCGTGGCCAGATATCCAGTGGCCCGATATATATACGTTTTTAGTGGAGAGGCCCAGTAAGTACACACGTGAGAAGCTACGGGCATACAAATCGTTAGATGCATACAACTATGTTGTCTGTGGCCACGTACAGAAAGTAAAATATCACGACATAGACTCTGAGTTTTGCGTCTTGGAGGCAGAAGTCCTTCCTAGCCAAAGACAAGGACACAAGACTGCTATGTACGAGGCTTGGGTCATAGTAAACAAACCAGAGAACTACGTCTTCACAGCCAACTGTACCTGCATGGCAGGGTGAGTATAGCATAGGTTTCTTTTTTTAGCGTGCTCAGAGTACAATTGTGTTAATTTTGGAGAAATACAGTTTATACTAATATGCAGTGGGAAAATACAGATGAATTAGAATGAAATGTTAATTTGAAGCATGAAATAAAGCGTATAAATTTGTATAATTCTGTCATTTTGATGTTCCAGACTTGGGTCATGCTGCAGCCACGCAGCAGCAATTTTATTCAAAGTTGAGCTTTGTGTTAGGATGGGAAAAACAGAAAAGGCTGCAGTTACCCTTTTGATGGCATGCAGCCACAGACGCCAACGATTTTGTTGAAATGGATGTGCTCCCTTCGGAATTCTGTAAAGTTTCAGTCCACTGCTTGAAGAGAAGCGATTCTGGCATCCATACACGCAACAACCCGACATTTTTATGTGCTCCGAACTTCAAAACAAAGGGTTTAAAACGCTGTTTTAGTATCGAGTGTGAATGAGGAAGCCTTCACTCTCGTTGCCAGGCTGCGCGCGCAACTTTTGATGACGTAGGTAGTAAAAGGGTCTATAAAAAGGACTGCACGAGGAAGTGAGATTTCAGTGCCCGTGTGAAAGTTTCACTGCACTACCCTGCAGAGTAAAACTAACTTTGGTTCCAGTGTCTGTTGATTCGATCCTGAGGTTGCGGGGACATTTAAAGCCCCAACAGCAGCCATGTTTGTGTAGAAGTAATCTGATTACTAGCAGAGGGACATGTTTTCCTTGGACAGAGGCCATCCTCTGAGTTAATGTAGAAGCAACGACACAATGACACCAAGATCCTGTCTTTGTGTAAAGCCTGACGGTATTTTAGTGTTGCTGATTATATAAAGTCATCCATATTAAACAGTTTTCATTTTGGGGGTTATCTTTATTCTAAAGGCAGCTGTTCTCGGGTCAGATTGGTTTTGTTACGGAGTACCTGATCCTCTGAGAACAGAAGCCCCCTCTGCATGTTGATCTTCTTCATCAGATCTCCTCCATCACAGAACTCCATCACTATATACAGGTTGCCTCTCTCTGTGCAGAGATGAAGTTTAGATGGAGACAAAATCACAGATGGTCCTCTACATGTTCTGGTCCTAAACAGCCACTGTCACCTTGAAACGATGCAATGAAAGAAACAATGTTGGGGTGTTTCATCTTCGACAGCAGCGTCACCTCCTTCTTGGAGGCTTCTTTTTCTCTCGTTGACATCTGAGCCACAAACACACCTCTAAGCCTCAATAACAACCGTAGAGTAGAACGTTGTTCTTGGAGTTTATATCTGGTCATTTTTAACATACTGCTGTACCTTCCTGAAGCTGATGTGTTTGACCACACACAGCCCATCTCCAGCTGCTCTCTTGTCTCTCACCAGTAAGGCTCTCCCAAACGCACCTTCTCCAATCTGCCGAATGACCTCATAGTCATTCATAACACCTGGGTTACCTGAGACAGACAACAGAACCACACTGACACATCAGGATCACTGCTGGTATTTATATGGATCGTTATTTGCCATCATTTTTCCTGATTTCAGTGTTCAACCCAGGTTTAAATTCAATGTATAATCATTGAGTGACTCAAGGATTATTTTTCAGCAGATTTTTATATATCATTTTAGAAGATAGATAGATAGATAGATAGATAGATAGATAGATAGATAGATAGATAGATAGATAGATAGATAGATAGATAGATAGATAGATAGATAGATAGATAGATAGATAGATAGATAGATAGATAGATAGATAGATAGATAGATAGATGGACAGACAGACAGACAGACAGACAGACAGACAGATAGATAGATAGATAACGTATTCACTCAGCTTGTTAAAATATTTTACATAAATTTGCTGTAGAAACATATTATGAAACTTTAAATAAATATGTAAAATTACATTTTTTCAATAAAAATTTAGAAAAGGACCTTCTCCTTTATTTAAAATTGGACTTAATGTTTCATAGATTTAGACATTTAAGACCTTTAAATAAAATGAAACAACTCCTCGAGGATAAATTTAAAAAGTCATTGTGCTGTTTTGTAAATCATATAAACTAAAAGTGGGATATTACATTTCTATCACCAAATAAGTCAGAATGAGACAAAGTTAATCTCTCAGACGATTTGAGTACTATGAACTAAGTATTGGAAATATTTGGTAAAATAACAGAAAACTGAACAAAATATAAGCAGGTTCATAAACAAGACAAGGTCAATCTTTTCATTTAATAAAAACTTTTAATTATATATATAAAAGCATGGCTAAAGGAGATAATCTATTCAACAGAATAATAAAAAGTCACCACTGCAGTTCTTCCATTAGCTAGAGACTCCAGAGTCCTAAACAAACACAAATAAAAAGTAGTAAAAGTAATTTCACTTTTAAATAAATTTCAGACTACCTGGCCACAGCTAAAATGCTCGTTACCATGGAGACGGGGAAATTAGCATGCTAACATTAACTTCGCCTGAAATTCAGCGTCAGAGTAAAATAAGTTATTTTCTTTGTTTGGGACTATATAAACATTCACTTACGTTTTAAAGGGTTTACAGAAGCAGCAGTCTCATAGTAAAACGGTGGCAGTGAAAAGTTAGAATGTCAGGGACGTGCGTGTTGTCTGAAGGGAAAAGGGTTGAGTACGGCAAGAGCAAAGGCGTGCCGCACCGGATGCTGGGAGTTGTAGTCATTGGTCATTTCACTTGACTTGCACAGCTTTTACCACTGCTGTTCAAATCCTTACATTTGTTTGACATAAATATCTTAGCTGCTAATTAAAACTCCTCGTTTTTATGGCTATTTAATTTTTGCATTTATTTTATTTTCATTAAACAAACATCTAAAGCAACATAAAACAAGAACATGGCCTGCAGTCAAAACTGTAACCGTTTCTATGTCCTTTCATTCCTCTCGTCAGAGACTTACCCTGTTCGTTCAGTGTTTATGTATTGCAGAAAATTGTTCAGAAAATCAATAAAGACCTTGTAAAAAAACATCTCCTAGTCAGCTTCCTAATCCTGTATGTCAAACTTTCCGTGTGTTTTATTCCATCTACCTCTGGGCAAGCCTCATTATTGGCTAATTGCATTAAATGATTGGATTTATTTACTGTGATAGTCTCATCTGTAGATATCTAAATAGAACCTGATTCTGTAAATTGTCTTATTTCTTGCAAACAATTTTACCATTCTTTATTTTGCATGTAGCTAGTTTTCACACCTCTTATTTAAAGGGACTTTACAGAGTTTAGAATTTTTATGCTCGCGATTGCCCCCTCAGGCCAAAAGCGTAACGGCAGCCTCAATAGTAGGCTCGTGCACGAGATGCGCATGCTGTACGTGCACACTCCTTAACGAAAATAACAGCTGAGACAGTCAGCTCTGTGTGTGTGTGTGTGGATCCCGGAGGACAGAGGACAGGAGAATGCACAGCTAATTGATTAAATAATTGGGTTCTGTACCTTTCTCTTCAGCACAGCCGACAAAGGTTTATGATGGGTCAGTCCTCCTGCATGCTCAGATCATTCCCTTCCCTTGCTTGAAAAATTGTTCCAAAATGAAAGTTGAACCCACATCTTTTTTATCTGTGAATTCAATGCCGTTCGGCGAGTCTCAAATAAAAATTTGGGCGTCTTTCTATTAAAAAAATACCATTAATGTAAAAAGGAAACTTCAAATAAACTATGTTCACATCCAGAATCAAATCCAGGTCTTCTGCACGAAAGTCGGACATCTTACCAGGCAAGCTAATGCGCCAGTGATGTCACTTGTATCTGTACCACTTGAGAACGGTTTGGAGGGCTATGCCTGAGCGTGAACGCGCATGAAGCAGCCTGCTCGACCCAAGCAACTCTCTTTTTCTGTGATTTTACAGAAAAACAGGCAATCATAGTAAAAATGCCAGGGCTCATTCTACAGGAAGAGGGCAACTCTCACATCACCAGGTTGACTAGTTGTGCTAAATAAGGACACATGTGTTGTTAATGTTAAACTCAATGAAGTTGGTGAAATCTTAGCATGAAAATCAAATTAGCCATAGTTGAACATACACCCTGAATAAGGAAAATGAATTATGAATATTTTAGGTGAAATCTCTCAGAAATACACTTTGGTTATGGACTACAACACCCTGGGGTTGAAATAAAAAATTAAATTAAATACTTCAATGAGTGCCCTATAAAGGGTTAAGATTGTGTAGGTTTCAGTTTGCTATTTTTATAATTTTTATTTAAACTTTATTAGCACTCTCACCAAGGGCTTTCTTTTGTTTTCTTGAGAAGACGCATCAAACATCTCCACCAACTAATGATGATGACATGACAACCTTCTGGCCTGCATGAACACGTTTCATAGCTTGCAGAGCCACATGCTTACTGAAATCATGAGCACAACAGCAGAGGTGTGATCTTTTAACTTTGGTGAAACCTGCAGACAAAGACACGTGTAAATATTTAGAGGGGGGAGCAAAGCAATAGAAAAAAAAATAGTGAAACTTTGACATAATGTCGGTACCAAGTCCCCAAACTGAGATGATCAGGCTGCTTCGTCTCCGGACCCTCAAGGTGACTCATCCATCCAATGCCCAAGGCCTGGCCCATATCCCATGATCCTCCAGTGTGACACTCTGTGATTATGAACACATTTCCACTCTGATCAAGTAACACAGGCCTGTTATCGTGCAGACAGCTGATGCTGAAGAGACGACTATGTGACGACATGGCAGCTAAACTGCCTGAGAGGTCCTTGAACTCATCAGCATGGGGTGGAGCAAAGTCCTCAGATACATCATTTAAAAAGCAAAACACAATTCCCACTTTTGGCTGAAAAGGCTACAGGTGCTGGCCAGTAAATTAGAATATCATCAAAAGGTTGAAAATATTTCAGTAATTCCATTCAAAACGTGAAACTTGTACATTATATTCATGCAATGCACACAGACCAATGTATTTCCAATGTTCATTACATTTAAATTTGATATTCATAAGTGACAACTAATGAAAACTCCAAATTTGGTATCTCAAAAAATTAGAATATTCTGAAAAGGCTGAATATAGAAGACACCTGCTGCCACTCTAATCAGCTGATTTACTCAAAACACCTGCAAAGGCCTTTAAAAGGTCCCTCAGTCTTGTTTTGAAGGCACCACAATCATGGGGAAGACTTCTGACTTAACAGCTGTCCAAAAGACAATCATTGACACCTTGCACAAGGAGGGCAAGACACAAAAGGTGATTGCTAAAGAAGCTGGCTGTTCGCAGAGCTCTGTGTCCAAGCACATTAACAGACAGGCGAAGGGACGGAAAAAATGTGGTAGAAAAAAGTGTACAAGCTCTAGGGATAACCGCACCCTGCAGAGAATTGTGACGACAAACCCATTCAAAAATGTGGGGGAGATCCACAAAGAGTGGACTGCAGCTGGAGTCAGCGCTTCAAGAACCACCACGAGGAGACTCATGAAAGACATGGGATTCAGGTGTCGCATTCCGTGTGTCAAGCCACTCTTGAACATGAAACAGCGCAAGAAGCGTCTCGCCTGGGCCAAGGACAAAAAGGACTGGACTGATGCTGAGTGGTCCAAAGTTATGTTTTCTGATGAAAGCAAGTTCTGCATTTCCTTTGGAAATCAAGGACCCAGAGTCTGGAGGAAGAGCGGAGAAGCACAGAATCCACGTTGCATGAGGTCCAGTGTAAAGTTTCCACCGTCAGTGATGGTGTGGGGTGCCATGTCATCTGCCGGTGTTGGCCCACTCTGTTTCCTGAGGTCCAGGGTCAATGCAGCCGTCTACCAGGAAGTTTTAGAGCACTTCATGCTTCCTGCTGCTGACCAACTTTATGGGGATGCAGACTTCACCTTTCAACAGGACTTGGCACCTGCACACAGTGCCAAAACCACCAGCACCTGGTTCAAGGACCATGGTATCCCTGTCCTTGATTGGCCAGCAAACTTGCCTGACCTTAACCCCATAGAAAATCTATGGGGTATTGTGAAGCGGAGGATGCAATACGCTAGACCCAACAATGCAGAGGAGCTGAAGACGACTATCAGAGCAACCTGGGCTCTCATAACACCTGAGCAGTGCCACAGACTGATCGAGTCCATGCCACGCCGCATTACTGCAGTTATTGAGGCAAAAGGAGCCCCGACTAAGTATTGAGTGCTATACATGCACATTCTTTTCATGTTCATTCTTTTCAGTTGGCCAACATTAGAGAAACAAACATTTTTTCATTGGCCTTTAGAATATTCTAATTTTCTGAGATACCAGATTTGATGTTTTCATTGGTTGTCACCTATAAATATCAAAATTAAACGTAATAAACATCGGAAATACATTGGTCTGTGTGCATTGCATGAATATAATGTACAAGTTTCACGTTTTGAATGGAATTACTGAAATATTTTCAACCTTTTGATGATATTCTAATTTACTGGCCAGCACCTGTAAACAAAAAGAACAACACTAATTTGGTTTTTCTGGGTTGTTTATTGTGTTGTTTGGTTTCTTTGTTTAGAGATTATATACACAACTTAGTAGAAGAAAAGCTATCAAAAAATTTTTAAATTTAGAAAAAAGCTGTGGAAAAACGTGAACATACGTGTGCTCACTTCCACGTGCTGCTGTTTTTATTTAAACCAGTAAAACACTTCCAGTTTTATATTTAGAAGAGAACTGATGCAGTGTATTAATAGCTACAGCAGACAAAAACGACATTTAATCACTGAAAATCAACAGCCAGTATCAGCAGTACAAAAAGTGCTCCGTCTCTAGAACTTTATACGAAAAAGGCCAACAGCTGACTTTTGTCTAGGAAGATGCAGTGTGAGGTCTTTTTGCTGTTATCTTGAATAAACTGATTCATAAATGTAGATTTGAAGCTACTTATTATCTGAAATAAGATTCCCAGACTATCCCCGCACAGAAAGTGGACAAATACAAGATTCACCTTTTTCAAACACAGATTTACCAACAACTTCACATTGCACTCCCCTCACTCACTCATTCACTCACTCACTCCAGCTACTAAAAACAAAAGACAGGTGAGGATCCAGAGTCTCTGCACGCCTGGCTTTATTAAGACCCATGGAGAGGTGATGCAGCATCTTAAGGCTCGCAGATCAGAGTTTCCACCACAAACGTGTTCTCAAAGTGACGGATCTTGTGGCAGGTGAGAGCTTCACGCTTCTGCATACCTGCAAGACAGGAAAACCTTCTTTACTATGATGAGTAAAGGCGTGTTTGCTAAGATCTCCACTTTATGACTGCATCTTTGCTTCTACCCTACTTCTCTCCATCTTCATCACTTTTGTCTGCAGATGGTTTGCCTACCACACATGGACCACCCGTAGGTGTGTTAGGGCTTAGGTAGTGTACACACCCAGAATCCTGTCTCTGCGCTGCAGCTTGTAGGTGTCTTTGCCGCGGCAGAGGGTGTAGATGAAAGCTCCGAGGTTTTCGATGTTCTCCAGACGCTCGGTCACCACCATCTCCTCATGGACCAGGTAGGACTGGGGCAGGTAGGTGCCAGCCTACATGGAAAAATACAGCACGAACCTCTCAGAGACTATTTTATATTATGTCCAGGAACAATCAGGCACTTTAACCTCAAATGATGACAGACTTCTTAAATAAATAGAACTTGTTACCTTGACATTGATGAGGAGATCCAGTAAGTCTGTGGGAGGCATGACGACAGAGGTGTTGAGGGGGATGACGTAGCACTTGTCCAGGCTCAGATCCAAGTAGGCAGTCAACCTCTGAGAACCAACAACACTGTTAAAGTAGCTAGAAAGACCAAACAAACAACAATATACCAAAGGTACAGCAGCGGTGCACCAGTTCTCCAGGAACCTGCTGATCAACAACCAGGAGGTCTATTTAGCCATGCTCTAAAATAATTCTGTCCACACATTCAGACTGAGTGACAGGAATCTGGGCAGGATTGGCTGGGGACACCTTACCCTCTGGAAGTCATGGACAATGTCTGCTGGATCTCCATCCTCAAAGTCAGGCACGGGGACATGAATGATCTCCACCTGGTCTGGCACCAGAACCTGGATTCTCTCCTGCAGCAGCCGCTGGCGGAAACTCTGCTCTTCCATCATCTGTGCATCAACACACAACGTTTGGTGGGTTTTACAGTCCTGAGGGTTTTAAAAGCATCTAGTATTTAAAAGGATGGGAAACATTTAGATGTTTAACAAACCTCCTCTTCCTCAGTGATCATGTAGTCATTCTCGTGGTAGTTCACCCCACAGATGAAGACCTCGTTATCCTGCTTTAACGAGAGAAGAAACAAACAAAAACTTTAGAAACATTTGCAGAGCTGAACATCTCTTGATGTGTTTCTGCTTCGGCTGAATGGATCTTCTTCCTGATGAAAGGTGTAGCATCATCTTCACAGATCATGAACACTCCATGTGAAAATAACTGGACACTGATCTGCACACGAGTGTTTTAACCAAGCCCCCACAATGCAGGTGAAAAGTTAAAGCAAATGCGGAAATGAAATAAATTGCAGTTCCACCCTCATCCACTGGGGGCTGGTGTCAGAAGCGAGCAAATCCTCATTGACTTCCATGTTAAAAATACCAATTTCACAGCAGAAATAAACATGTTTACAGCCTGGTACCAAAACATGTTTTTGGTTTAAATTATCTAGTTTACACTCATGACAACTCTGAGGGGGGTGGATTTTTTCTCACTGTTCTGTTTAAGTGTATTAAAAGCCTAAAATTCTGTATAATTAATGAGCGTCAGACCCACGTGACCACAGAGCTAGCTCCGGGGAAAGGTCTCAATAGAGCCTCGGTCTGGCCTGGAAACTGTTCTGGGATTTTGAGTCTCTGTGTTTGTGTATTCTGTTTTGGATTTTTTTTGTGCAATTGTTGGACAAAATGACTTGCTGTGGCATTAATTGCACTAATAGAGCGTCCAAGGAGTCTCCACTTCGTTTTTTTCAGTAAGTAAAATTATATTTATGTATTTTAGGTCACTGCCGAGCTGAGCTTAGATTTTAACATGTACTGTTTAACCATGAAATTTTAATGTAATAGGGTAAAACCCAGTGCATTTAACACAATGCTGCACTTTAAAAAATGGGTTGAAATATAACATGTTGGTGGAGCTGGGTTCCGACTATTGGCTTGTGGAGCTCTCGGAGACCTCTGTGTTCCACCCGGTTTTACCCAGTGGTCAGCCCGGTGTATCTCTGACTCAGAAGCTCTGGTGTTGTGCACAGTTATCTCCGGTTGTATCTAGGTTGCTACCTCCGTTAGCTTAGCTCCCACCTCCGCGTTAGCTTTGGGTTAGCTTCAGGTTAGCTTGTAGCTAGTTCGACCGGGTGTTGTCAGTTGATACCAGCCTTACAGCCCCACCCTCAGCTCCACCTCTCTTCCCTTTTGTGGAATTGTCTGGGCATGACGGAACCTGTGACGCGGTCAAAATGGCGGTGGTGGCCACCTCCCATTTCCCCTCAAAAACGTGTTATTGGAGACTATGGAAACCCATTGTCCATATATGTATATGTCAAGTGTTTTAACAGATCCAGCGGAAGTGATTAGGACCACTCGGCTGTATTTCTGCATCTAGTCGTACGCGCACTGAAGAATTAAACATCTACAACATGTTACCATCATACTTTAGTGTGTTTGTACAGCACATATGCTCAACAATATAAAGACCATTGATCTTGGGGAACATGTATCAAAACACACACACACACACACACACACACACACACACACACACACACACACACACACACACACACACACACACACACACACACACACACACACACACACACACACACACACACACACACACACACAACTCATGTCACAGAGTGCTGCACCGTTTTCTCCTTGTGGAACACCTGGGACACAAAACAAAGTATGAATGATCACGGGGGTGGCATGGTGGAGGTTGCAAGTTCAACACCCAGCTGGGGCATTTCTGCTCAAGGATGACAGTCCCTCCAGAGCATGTGTGGGTTTCCACACCCAGATCAGTGACATACATGACAGAATAACTGGTTACTGATTGTCACCAGCAGTGTGTGTGTGTGTGTGTGTGGTAGGGTCATAATCTTTACTATAAGGACTCCTAACCTGTTGAGGGTCAGCCCAATGACTGCTGGAGATCAGATTCCTGTGACCCTGTACAGGAACAAGTGAGTAAAGAAAATGAATGAATGAAAGAATAGATGAATGGATGTACGACTGATTTCATTAATGTGCATCTATGGTGACCCCTTGACATGTGACATCACGTGCCCATATCCCCGGTCACTCCTTTCGTTGCTTCTGCTGTGTTAAGTCCAGATGGCTGGCACACAGGAGGACTGTCACCTTACAGCTTGTTAGCCATTTCAAACAGATCTGCAAACTTTACGCTAAACACCGTTAGCTTTTTTGATCATCTGCACAAAGATGTGTTGGATGATTTCAAGTAGCAAGATCTAGGTTTTAATTAGTTAGCTTAAATGGCGGAAATATAGCTCTGGATAATGACTGGAGATTGGGGGTTTTGCCCCCCAGCATCGTGTGCATGCGCTTGATCACCCAGATGTAACTGATGACATTCTAGGGGTCTGTAGCAGAGCATGCTTACATCTTTCTCAATCAGCCAAATAAGTACAGTCATGGAGAATAAATGAATTATTTCTGAAAGGTGGCTGAGCCATCGGTCCCTCTCATGTTTGGCTGCACGTTTACCTCACACTTCACTCAACAACTCCTCCCCACCAGACCTCTTTCACATATCAGAGATGTTGCATATCTGGTTAGAGACCAGAGGTGTGAGCTGTAAGCAATCACAAATGTCCTGGTTCCTCCACTGTGTTTTACTGGTAGATGTTCTTGTATGGATGGAAGCATGTCATGTGACACATTTACAGAAACTCCACCTTTAGAGACTCGAAAAAAGAAGGAGAAACCTGAAATACCTGCTTTGACATCTATGTTTAGTCTCTCTGACTTGGGGACTTGTGCTCACCTCCACGACGTAGTAGCGGTACAGGTAGGCTCCTGCCACCACCACTCCAGACAGAAAAAGGGCGATGCCCAGGCACACACACCAGCACCAGGCCCGAGACCGCTGACGCACCACCAGAGCCGCCTCTGTATCCTGCAGCAAGAACAGGACACGGACTTGTTAGATGCAATCGTGTTCAACTGTTTTCATTACAAACTTGTAATAAAGGATCAGATATGTGGCTCTTTAAAATTCAGATAGAATCGCTTAGGTGCAGTCCACCTTGGTAAGAGCCATTAGAACAAGTTACACTGTGAAAAATAATAATTCAAAGGTCTGACCCCTTCCTTAACCCTCCCACTGTCTAATGGGCAACCCCGCGAGGAAAGTTGACCACTGAGCAGGATTGATGGTTTATCCCTTGAGGTCCACGTGGTGCTCACTCCTCACCCCTGCCACATGTACCCAAGGGATAAACCATCAACCCTGCTCGATGGTCAAATTTCCTCGCGGGGTCACACCCATTAGACAGTGGGAGGGTTAAAGCTTCAAGACCCCAGAGACCAAATAATCGAAGGTCACTGTACATGACATAACACCAGATGCAACAGATCCTGTCAGACACTCATAAAATCATAACATTGGGCACCTTTAATAGTGTAATTCCTAATGTAACACACATATTTACCCGCGTAACATTTTAGTGTGCTAGCTAATATAGTGTGGTGTTTTGATGGTGAAAAACAAGGCTGTTTTTAGCTTTCTTGGTAAATTATTAGCTTCAAAATCACAACAGTTCAGCGACATCAGTAGTATGGGGCAAGCCCCACTAGCTACAGCGCAGACAACAGCTCTGTCACCTAAACATTTCCAAACATGAACAGAACATGTAAACACCTCCTTAAATGAGATTAGAAACAGAAGGGAACGTTCTGTCTGTGGCACTAGGCAGACCGGCTCTGGCTTTGCTTCCTGTTCTGCTGCTCTAAGCCAAGAACACCGACTCTGGCACACAGGGGGTGTTCTGTGCAGCAGGGGGAGGGGGCGGTCTGATGGATGGATTATGAGCCAATCATTTTGACGATTCGAGAATTTTACGTTTCTGAGGCGATTGAAATTATTTTTGCTCATCATCAACTTTACTGATAATGCACTTTTCATCAACCAGTCGTCGAACCCGAGTGCTGTTACCCGCATAACAAAAATAAACCCTGCGAGGGCCAAAAAAGATATAAATAGGCCTGGGACGATAACAAATTTAGCTGGACGATATATGGTCCAAAAAAATTATTGTCGATAAACAATATTATTGTAGACATTATCAAGACCAAAACAACCACTTATGTGAAGTTAATATATCATAATAATGCAAGTACCCTTTAAAATGCAACTATTAAACCTTTATTTAACATTGGAATGTCCAGAACCAGAACTTCTAAATAAATAAATAAATAAGGACTTTTACTCTCCAAAACAATAAACGCAATGGCCTATCCACTGTCAACAACTAAAACTGCACTTCAACAATGATAATAAATAATAGAGTTGTACATTTGTTAACCTTGATATTTTGAAGCTGGAAAGATCATTAAGTTCATTTTCATGTATTGTGTGATTAATTGATTTATTGATTATCGCCCCAGCTCTAGATAAAAAAAAAAAACAACAGAACAAAACTGGATAGCTCAATCATCTAAAATGTTGATACAAGCTTGCTGATGGAACGCCAGAGAATAAAAATCAGACTTCATCCGACTCTTAAAACCCGACAGTGAAGGTGAAGGCCATTCCACGGCTTAGGGGCCAAGACCTAGAAGGCTCCGCCTCCTTTAGCTGTGCATTTCACACTTGGAACGACTAATAACTTGTGCTGAGGTGACCCAAGTTTGCGTGAGTAGATGCATGGGGTGCATAGTTCAGACGGTTAGGTCTCATATCTCACCTTTAAAACCCGATTGTCATGATAATTAATCACTTATAGTATTTTTATAGGTCTGCTGGTGTCTGAAACTCTAAAACCTGCTCTCTCTGGTTTAAAACTCCATATTGTCATTAAGCTGTAATGAAAAGCATCATAGCAATTTTATTCAGATGCAACAATAAATCAGTAAAAACAGAACCTATCCCAAGCATTGACACAGCTTGTGATGTGAGAACAACAAGAGTTCAGAGTTGGATCACATCAGCGAGACCTGCTGGGAGTCTGGAAACTCTCCAGAGACAGACAGAGTGTGACTGGAGACCAGAGTGTGTGCGTGTGTGTGTGTGTAAGTGAAAACAAATGCTTTCTTTTCATCAGATGAAGGAGGCTTCACATCTCTTCAGACACAGGATGACTCACTCGGATGCCGATCAGAAACTAGGGGCACAGGAAAACGGTGAAGATGGGAAACCAGAAAGGCTGTGGGTGTTACAGCTGCAACAATTGGAAAATGTGCGTACGAGCCTGGTCTCTGTTAATGCGGCTGTCCTGCTCATTAGGGATGTGTAGATCGATCCCTCCATTTCCAGCTATTTATGTTTTGGAATCTATAATCTCATTAAAGTACTGATATTTGAGTCATTTGAAGTTATACGTTTTTGGGACATTTTTCAAAAATTACGTTTCTTTGATTGGAACAACTTCTGCCAATCGTTGTGCGTGATATGGCACAATACAAATACCTTAAGCCGCCACTGGGGGCACACACTGCCCTCTCTTCTGTTTATGCTGCACCTGGAAGCTCACGGTTGCCCAGAGTTAACATGGCAGAACATAAACCGACCCGTGAGTGGAGCTACTTTAGCTCTACTAACAGCAACGAATAAGTATGTTAACTGTAGGAAGACTGTGAGGTATTGCAGTAACACCACAAACCTCATTAAACATCTATACATAATTAATGAAGACGTCATGATGAGGTGGTCAGAGGAAGAAGGGGAAACAAACATCTCTCTTGGATTCTTTCAGTGCTAATGGTGCGTTCGCTTTCTCCTCGGAACTCAGAGATTCCGACTTTTCAGTTAAACAATTACAGTTTGAATGATTTATTCTCAATTAGTCAATGTATTATGACTGATGGTTAATATTTCAAGATATAGGTATAAACAAATATATTAAATAATGTATACATCCATCCATACGCGCTTCCCACGCAGGCTCGCGGGGGGCTGGTGCCCATCTCCAGCTGTTATTGGGCAAACAGGCGGGGTACACCCTGGACAGGCTGCCAGTCCATTGCAGGGCAACACAAAGACACACAGAACAAACGTCCATACATACATCTATTTTGTTCCGCCTATCCGAAGTCAGGTCGTGGGGGCAGTAGCCCAAGTCGAGAGGCCCAGACTTCCCTTTCCACAGCCACTTGGGCCTGATCTTCTGGGGGAATCCCAAGGCGTTCCCTGGCCAGGGGAGAGACATAGTCCCTCCACCGTGTCCTGGGTCTTCCTTTAGATCTCCCAGTTGGACATGCCTGGAAAACCTCACCAGGGAGGCGTCCAGGAGGCATCCTGACCAGATGCCCAAGCCACCTCAACTGGCTCCTCTCGATGTGGAGGAGTAGCGGGTCTACTCCGAGCCTCTCCTGGATGACCGAGCTTCTCACCCTATCCCTAAGGGAGAGCCCAGCCACCCTGAGGTGAAAACTCATTTCCGCCACTTGTGTCCGCAATCGCATTCTTTTGGTCACTACCCAAAGCTTGTGACCATAGGTGAGGGTAGGAACATAGATTGACTGGTAAACCAAGAGCTTCACCTTTTGGCTCAGCTCTCTTCACCACAACAGATTGGTACAACGCCCGCATCACTTAAGACGCAGCACCAATCCGCCTGTTGATCTCACGCTTCACCTTTCCCTCACTCGTGAACAAGACCCCGAGATACTGAAACTCCTCCACTTGGGGCAGGACCTCGTCCATGCAGCAAGACCCCATGCCGGGATGTGAACCCAGGACCGCCTTGCTGCAGGCAACAGCGCTAACCACTGCACCACTGTTCAGCACTTATGTTTATGTTTTTTTATTTGGCCCTTTTATCCAAAGCGACGTACAACTATTAACCTGTAGGGCATGGCGTGATCTATGGGGGAAACCGGAGTAGCCGGAGGAACCCCATGCATGCATGAGGAGAACATGCAACTCCACACAGAAAGGCTGCAGCTGGGTTTCGAACCTGTAACCTTCTTACTGTGAGGCAACAGCGCTAACAACTGCGCCACCACGCAGCCCTCTCATTTAATCATGTATTTTATTGGTAATTGTTTAAATGCTCGTACAGCATTCATTGTTTTATGTCCCCTGTGTATCTATATTATATGTGGACAATTTTCCAACAGCAACAACACTCACAAGATGATAGGGAAGGATCTGCAGCCTCTGTCCACGGTGGAGACTTTCAGCTATTAGTGAGGGTTCTTGACCCAAAGTATAACTTCTGTGCAGAAACAAACGCACAGACTCACCTGTACAAAGTTATAATCTAAATATTTTACTTTGTTTTTGTTTAAAAAAATGAAATACAAAGTTTCGATATTGAATCAGTATCGCTGATACTGGACCTCATTTTACAAGGTACTGAGTCGGAAAGGAAATCAGCGGTATCGCACATCACTACTGCTCATGTGCAGAACTGAGATTCATGAGCATGAAACAATGATCGGGGTAAAACCCAGCTAAAGCAAAAATGTGCAGCGTATGTGTAGAGCCAGGCTCCGACATGTCACCTGCTCTAATCTGCTGCTAAAAACCAAAAAAATGTAACGTCTCGGAAAGGCTGCTGCTTGGTAGGCTGGTTTCCTAGAATTAGTGTTTCACAGAAGTGCTGTCTGAAAACAGAACCTGAGGTTTCACTTACACAAATGACAAACTCAAAAACTGTGAAAACAAGTTAAATTTAAAGGAAGTAGTTGGAAACCAAAAACAAGTCAGCGTTTTTATTTTTTCAATAGTAAGCTGATTTTTTGGTACCAATAACAGAAAAACCTGGTCACCCACTCCGATATAAAAATTAAAACTTACATAATAAAAAAAACAATAGAAACACACAAAAGATCACAGCTGAGAAGGTCAAAACAGACTATGAGGCATATCTGTTCAACATCCAACTCAAAAACGTGTCATACCATCAACTGCTCAACTTAAAACTAAAGCTGGTGACACAAGATTTCCATTTC